TTACCCTAGATTCAGCTTCTACTAGAGTTCCTACTACAAAGAGTCATGAAACATAAAAATCTTTCCTTTAGCCTGGTTGAGGTTAACTAGGCAGAACTCTGAATCAGTAACAGTTGCCAAGGAATGTGCTGGCTGCCTTAGGCTAGTTAGCATTACAAAGAGACAAATAACTGATAGAAATAAGTAACTGATAAGCAAGACAAAGGTGCTAATATAGCTCACTGTAGTCCTTTCGGGAGAGAGTTACAGCACCCACAGAACTCAAAATTACTGATATTCTAAAGAACCTTTGAAATTTTATGAAATTTTGATCAACTCATTTTTTTTCTTGAGATAGTCTTGAATCTTACATCACAGATGAGAGTATCCTTTATTGTATAATTCTACCACATAATTAAATAGGCAAAAATAAACAAACCCAGGAGTCATCTAACAGTTTGGTTTTTGTTAGATTGATCTCACATATCCAAAAGATTTAAAATGTGTTAATTATGATAATGACTTCACTTTAGACATGATGAAGTACAGAATATTTGCTACTTTAGATGAAGTTAATATAAAATCTAGATAGGCTAAAATAATTACTTACCATAATAGTCAATACTATTTTAGCATAGTTACTTTTATCTTACCATTTTATTGTTTTAACAGGAGAATCTGCTTCACAAAGGAAGTTTAAAATTCTTTTTGTTGTTGTTGTTTGTTTTCTGTATTTTGAGAAAGGATTTCTTTGTATAGTCCTGGCTGTCATAGAATTTACTCTGTAGACCAGGCTGGCCTTGAACTCAGATTTGCCTGCCTTGGCCTCCCAAGTGCTGGGATTAAAGGCTTGTGTACCACCATCATCCTACACGGAAGCATAAAATTCCTAAATAACTTCTTTAGTAAAGAAAACTACTGCATAAATTTTTTTTAGGAAAAATATTTTTATTTTTTGTATATTTTCTTATATAGAACAGTTTAATTATTAAATATTTTAAATAATCCAAATCTGATCGAGCTAACAAAATACTATGCTGAATTCTAAGTGTTTGCTAAGATCTTCATAAGTTCATAGTGTAAAGAATATTACATAAATGGTCAGTTTTACAAGCATGAATTTTATTTTCTGAGACAGGATCTTACCCAGCTTGATCTTAAACTTGAGGTCCTCCTGCCTCAGCACCCCTCCATACTGAGATTATAAGTGTGTGCCATGATGCCAGGCTCCGCTTTTAAAGACAATAAATGACAAGAGGTAGACCAGAAGAGAAACTCATCCCTAAAGCACAAGGAGCACATCCAAAGCAATGATTGTTCTCTGAATTGGATTTTTTCATGATCACTTCATAATTTGTGTTCATAAGGCCATTATTAAGTACACAAATATTACACTAAATAATGATTTTATGTCTCACACAGAATTACCTTATAATCCAGATCACTGAAGTACAGCATGCAATTGACCAACTTAAGAGGAAATTGGATACTGATAAAATGAAACTCATATTAGAAGTTAAGGTAATCTATATTTATGCTAATCAGATTATAACATTCATCTTGAAATAAAACTGTTTGGTGTTTTAACCTTGAATGTCAGTATCATAAGGGTAGCCAGGACTGGCTCTTTAGGTTAGTATTTAACATTAAGGAACATGAGTGAAATGTGGGAAGAAAAGTAAATACTATAAAAAAAAATACATGTTATAACAAGGTCAAAGAAAAGTAAGGAAAAGTGAGGAAATTGTACTAAAGTAATTAAAAGTTAAAGGACTGTATGAGTCAGTACAATATGAACAGAAAAAACACTTTTAAATAGTTTTCCTACATTTTCAGACATTCATAAGTCTGACAGATCTCCACATGAGCCCCTGACTCACACTTGATTTGTCGCTTTTTTGGGTAGTCAGTTTGCTGTTGTTATTTTCATACATATGAAGTGTAGCTCTTCTGCTAGGTGCTAAGTTTCCTTCAGAGCAGAGACTGCCTTCGTATGAGCTTTATTTCTTGGTAGGAACTTTTCTCTACAGAAGTCTCATAGATGATTTCCAGCATTCTTAGCTTCCTTATAAAATGGTATATAAAGCCCATTGACAAGCACTTCCCCACACAGCTACAACCCTATCCCTGAAATTTTAAAACTTTCTTGTTGAGTTAAACAGAAAACAAAAGACTGTATATTCCTTCATTAAAGCATGTATACATGAAATAGGAAAGACTGATCACAGAAATTCTCCAATCACTCTTTTTCCAGAATAACGAACGTCATGATACAGAATAATTATCATATTCTAGAATTAGCACTAACCAGTAGAACTTTCTAGAGATATTTATACCTCACCATTGAATATGGTTGCCACTTACCACCTAAGGATTTTAAGCACTTCAATGTAGTTTGTATAATGAAGGACCTGAATTTTTAATTTTATTTACCTTTAGTTAATTTAAATTTACTACCATCTACTACATTGGACAGTGCAGTTCTGAGTGTATTTCAGTTCCTTCAAGGCTGGCTCAGGACTAGGATGCTTCAGATTTAAGAGGAAAAGAACAAAGGATTACGTTAATAATACGAGTTAAATATTAAGTATGCAATAAAAAACAATCTATCCTGTGACATATAACCAATACTATTTATTGATTTCTGAATGAACCACCTAAAGCATTGCCACCAATACTATTGAGAAATAGGAGGCAGAAAACCAAGCTCAAGTCTTTTGCAATCTTATTTATTCAAGGTAGTGGAGCATAAGTAGTGTTTCTAAAAGTTTAATCATTTATCTTAACAGGAGAATTGGTTCAAAATGCAGTATTTGACTCCATAAACCCAAGGAAGCCTGAGATTCTGTTCTTAACAAATTTGTAAGCTGTACTAATGCTCTTGGTCCTTAAATATGAAATGAGGAAAACCAAAGGTTTAAGACCCATAGAAGCATTTTATGCACAAGTGTATCCTATCCTGCACCTTAACTATCTATTTATTTCCTAAAGAGACTTTAGGATCCTGTTAGCGCTGGTTTTACTTGTTACACATTGAGATTTTGAAGCTAACGTAAAAATTAAAGTTCCTTTTATTGTATATTTTAAGACATTTCAACTGTCCTTTATATACTCATAAAAGACATAATTTCTTGCGCATCTAGCCAGATAAGAATGCCTGTTAACCTAGATGTGTAACGTGAATTTACTGTACTAATCTAATGAGTGAAGGCATGAAAGGTGAATGAGGCAGTTCCTACATGACATCCTGTGAGAAGGTTGAGATGCAGTGCGTTTTTTAAAGGCACCTCTTTCTACAGATGAGAAAACAAGCAGTTTCAGATTTACAGACGCTGAAAGCTGAGCTGACACACAAGAAAATGGCCACATCCTTCAGATCTCCAATGTGTATGTTCACTTAATTTATCTCTTGAAATTTCAGATAATGATTTGAACAAAATTAGCCACTGTGTTGCTTGGCAATGTTTTATATAAATCATAAGGATGATGTATCAGTTAGAGAATACATTTAAGATTTAATTATTAGTTTTTGTGTGGGTATTACAAGTTACAGTATAAATCTAAATAGTGACTGTTTATTTAGAAAAATTTGAGTCTGTTACCTATTTTACAGTATTATATCTTATAATTTCTTATTTTAATAAACTTAAAGGCTAGTATGATGGCAAAATTATTAGCAAAACATATGTTTTAGTAAATACCAGTATATTTGCTTAGAAATAGAATTTGTTAATATTTTGATTAAAATCTATTGCATATACATGTGTGGCAATTTTGTGTCTAATAATTTAATTTATACTATTTTTAGAAATATAAAATGATTTTTAGAAATAAAGTTATGCATATTCTGAGGAAGTAAACAATTTTACTGTCATAAACAACGATCTAAATAGAAAACAGACAGTTGTGCATCAGTTGTTCCAGCTTAGAAGGGATCATTTGTAAAGAAGATAGGATTTATGTATATGAAATTCACAGGATACAAATGGTAGTCAGTCTTTCTCTGCCCTGCCAGACACTTCCAAGTAATGACACAGAGACTTGTTATTAGCTATGAAAGCTTGACCAGTAGTTTAGGCTTGTTTATAACTAGCTCTTACAACTTAAAGTATCCCATTTCTATTAATTTACTTTCTGCCGTGTCGTTTTGTTACCTCATCTCCATAGTGCCCATCCTACTTGCTCAGTGTCCCTGGTGTCTTTGCCTTCTTCCCAGCTGCCTCTCTGCCTGGAAATCCTGTCTAGCTATTGGCCATTCAGCTTTTTATTAAACCAATCAGAGTAATGCATCATCATAGTGTACAAAAAGATTATTCCACAACAGCAAACATTTAATCTGTATATTTTCAGGAAGTAATATAAATACAATGTTATGATTTATTTTATTTTTACTTAATTTTATGTGCATATATGTCTGTGTACCATGTGTGTGCCATAACAGTGTGTCAGATCTCCTGGTACTGGAGTTAAAGATCCCTGGGGAAATGGAGTTGTGAGCTACCATGTGGGTGCTGGAAATTGAACCCAAAACCTCTGCAAGAGCAGCCAGTGCTCTTAACTGCTAAGCCATCTCCAGTCCTGTAAGGCTGCTGTTAATTGATTTGAGAAAGAGAACGAAGACTGCCTTACATTAGAAATTTAGTTTCACAAAACAGAAATTTATTTTCACAAAACTTTTAGAAAAAAGAGAGAATAATGTTCTTATGTAGCTTAAAAGCAAAATGCAAATATAGAAGAAGAACATGAAAAGAAAACTAGGCAAGAAATGAGTGTTAGGAAGTGTAGGGCCATGAGTGACTAGATGTATAAACAGGGACTAGAATCAAGTTCAACACCAGCTTATTATTACAAGAATTTTACACAGAAATCTCATCAGGTACCTTTACCAGTTCAAAATTATCGTCTCTCATATTGTTTGTGTGCATGCTTTTTTTTGTCATACACTGTTTCAAGGTTTAAGTGACTCTAATGTATGTCATGACACATTAGTGTGTAATATAAGAGGTCAGGAAGCAGAAAAATCATGTCTAATCATTTTAATCAACATAAAGAGATTCCAAATTCCTGATTCGAAATTTAACATTTGTTGAAAATAAATTCACATACACTGCTTCTCAAAGACTAGGTCATAAAGACTGTTTGAAGCCAACAATTTCCATTTCAAGATACACATAGTTCTTGTTAATTTTTTATTAGCATGTATTAATTGTAAAAAATAATGGGCTCCATTCTGATATTCTTACATATGTGTATAATATAATTTGATCATATTCATTTCCCACCCCATTATCTTCTCTTGTCTACTGGTTACGCATATTTTTTTATTTTTATTTTTATTTTTTTGGTTTTTGGTTTTTTGGAGGCTGTTGGTCCAGCCTGGCCTCGAACTCACAGAGATCTGCCTGCCTCTGCCTCCCGAGTGCTGGGATTAAAGGCATGCGCCACCACCGCCAGGCACACATATTTTTTTAAATCAGTAATGATTTTTAACAGTATATTTTAATACCAGGAGAGAAAATTCAGCATGAAATTTTGAAAGCAATTTTCCTAATTAAACTATAATATTAAAACATAGAAGAATATTTAATAGCATGTTTGACTTGTTTTTTGTTTTTATATTCCTGGATATTAAAGTTAGAGCTATCTATCTATCTACCTATCTATCTATATCTATCCATCTATCTATATGTATATATATATATATCTTTTGTGTTCTAATGAAGAGTTTCTTTATTTCTTACCCATGTGTTGAGTACACCATAGATAAGTTATGTCAGCTTGACAGAATATATACAGGAAGTTAGACCCACTTAAACAGCTCATTCTTTTAAGTATAATAGTCTGACAACAGATGCTTCTCTCTCTATCAAAGCCTTGGCTGTAAAGCTCCCCACATTTCTTCTGTTTGCTGTCTGGCTAGAGCATCTTCTGAGTAGTCAAGACAGTCTGCATTCCACATGCCAATGCCCCGCAAGCCATAATTTTTGACGTATGCCGCCTTTAGTGAAATGCTCTGGGGGTTATCATACCACACTTGATGAAAATGGCCAGCAGGATCCTAAACAAAAACAATTGAATTGGAAATTTAAAGAGTTCAATACAGTAGGGGAAGAATTCTTAAATTCAAGGACTCAAAATGCATGCAAAGAAATAATGAAAATGTTATGTCACATAACTTTCCTGCTCTCTTAGTTCAGGGTTATATACATGGTACTTCTAAATGTTATCTTGTGGTACTTTAGCAACAATAAAGATAATCACTTTAACCTTCTAATGTATTCTGTTTAAGAGCTTCCTTGTCTTAAGATTATATTTTCTGTCCTAATGATTATCAACTAAGACGTACACTTAAATCATTGTAGACCATGGAGCTTTGACGTTTACAGACTCTAGAAGGGCCTGGAGATGAGCACCGGGCACTCACAAGGATGAGGCAAGGTCATGAGTTCCGGGCAAGTCTAAGCTACACAGCGAGACCCTGTCTAGAACACATGAAACACAAGTAGCAGTTCTGATTCCTGCGTCTCACTCTGCATAAAACATGCTGAATCAGATCCTTGTAAGGCACTGCTAGGATCCATATTTGTTATCTACTGTTTTAGTATTCCACTGGGTAGCTGATACGCAACCCAAGTTAAAAAGAACAAAACCAGCTTGTTTGCGTGTTTATGTGTGTATTTATTTGTATTCTTTACAGTTTCTGGAAGTGTGCCAACCTAGGGGTTCAGAGACGGATATTGTTTGTGATAAACCGGCCAGATGAGCAGGTAATAGTGGTGGAGGAGGAAAGTACCACCTTCCTGGGTCTGACAGAACTGATTCTAGAAGGCTGTTGGAGGTGACTCCCTGGATGACTTAGCACACAACAGAAACTTTTGTACTGTGACTAAAAATGAGGAACATAACAGTAACAATAGATTGTTGTTTAAAATACCATTAAATGGCCTCCAAAGCTCCCAAAGTGTTTCATGAATTATTTGAGCTGAAACAGTACATTCTGGATATACCACCACACACTCAGTCAGATGAAAGGAATATCTCATGAATAAGAGGTAAGAATATAAGGGTTTCAGACATGAAGAAATTATAAGGGAAAATGCTATCAACCGTGACTGTATCAGTAGATGTTGTGTATTGTGTTGAAAATCATACTGAATCCCATTGGCATGTACAACTAATGCACGCGAATAACAGAATCTTAAAGTGTGTCTAGGAAATAAACATACTTAACTCAAAAACAAATGTGTTCTTTCAGAGAAACTAAAATAGTAGTTATATCAGAAGATGTGAATGGAGAGAATGTGAAACGTTCAAAGGACACACTATCCTACTCAGACAAGAGAAATAAGTTGAAAAGATCTAGTAAATACCATCGTCACTATAATTAAAAGCAAGGTAGCAAGGAATTACATACTTTAAAATTGTTGATTTTAACTGATCTCATTATAAAAGAACTATGAAGTAAGTGGATATATATATCAAAGCAGGTTGTATACAAAAATAGTTACAATTCTGTCAATGGTATCTATTTATTGTCAAAAATGTTAATTTTTTAAAAAATATGTTTCTGCATCTTCTCACTTAGTAAAGAAAAATTAAGCCAATAATTATAAAACAGAGCATATACTATCTTTACATAGATATTTCTAAATTATACATAATTTTTGATTAGTATAATGATAGAATACTGTTCCCCTGCTTGGTTCTGAATGAATTGAAGCAGGCTATGTTAAGTAAATAGCTTTATGTATTGCGACACTTATTAAATATTTTAATGTAATTCCATACAATAGAAATTTCAGACCAACAGATATTGCCAAGTGCTTTCTAAATATATTTGGTCATAGCACATGCATGCATACTTGTACATGTATGTACATGTCTATGTATAATGTTAACAGTTCTTAGAAGAGTTCTAGTAATATTGCTTATATATATGTGTGTGTTACACATGTATGTGTATATATGCTATTCATATATGTATACATGTCATATATGTTTTTTACATAATGTTTTTCTGTTTCTAACTTTTAAAATCCCTTATAATTTGTATTACTTGCAAAATAAAATTGACAGATGCCATTTTTCAATATAAAAATCTATAATTACTCATCTGTTAATCTTAATCTATTACTATTAATCTTTTGTTCCCACCTCTCTGGATCTCATCAGAATTGTTAAGCTATTTTGAAATAAATGGAGACTTTCAAACATAAAACCTACTTTGGCCAAAGCCCTTTGAAAAGCAAACTACCTTAGCACAGTTGTCAACTATTAAGGAAGTCCTGTTTATGATATGTGTAAAACATTCAAAGGGAAGTAGACCAAGCAGAGTATTACATTCATAATGTAACTTCAATTCTTCCCCAGGCAACTAAATTTCCTGATTACACAGACACAAAGACAGGTTTATGCACATAAGCAGTAAAACTGGTAAATTATTAACAACAAATATCTAATCACAAAATAGCGTTATGGAAACTAATGGAGTAAATGTTATTTTTTTAATTTTTCGAGACAAAGTTTCTCTGTGTAGCTTTGTAGACCAGGCTGGTCTCGAACTCACAGAGATCCACCTGCCTCTGCCTCCTGAGTGCTGGGATTGAAGGTGTGCACCACCACCCAGCTTGAGTAAATGTGCTTATTTTATGAAAATGTACCTGGTAGTTATAATAAGGAGCTTGCTGGTCTTTATTCCACTGGCTTCCAGAAACTGAACTATTTGCTTGCTCCATGATCACTTTGTAGGGCACCTGGCGGCCTGCAGCATCACTGCATGGCGCCCCTCGAAAAGGGATCTTTGCAATGGTGCACACGTCATCCTAGAAGTCCAAACATGTCCATGTTATCATAAAGGAAATGCAAAAATCCAAGTGAGACAAATGATAAAGCTGTTAGAAATAAAAGATACGCTATAAATAATCTGACTATACAGAATAATCATGAAATTGATAATAAAATGAAAATGCATGGCAGTCAGAAACTTCCATATTAAAGAATTAAAAAGAAACAAAGTTTACTTCAACATATATTTTAGAAATTACTTTTAAAAAGTTTCACATACTCAAAGCAGAACAAAATATATAATGGAGTAATATCCCATAACAAACAAGTAGTTCTTACCTGTGATAGATTCAGGCAGGGGTAATCATAACCGTACCAGGGAACACCCATTACGAGTTTCTTAGGGCTAATGCCCATCCTGATGTAGTCACTGTATCCTAGTCACACGGGGATAGAAAAACATGTAATTCTTCTGCTTGTGTATCTGTTAATCTGTACAAAGAAGCTGGGCAACCACACCAGATCTTAAGTTTGTAGAAACAGGTACATTTGTGCAAATAGCATCTACTTAAGAACTGGAAGTCACTGTATGGCTTGCTTTCTAAGCTTTGTTTTTTAAGAGATGGTATCCAATAAAGACGACATGGAAACAAAATACACAAAATGTAACTGGAGAAATGAAAATTACAAGAAATCATACTGGCTTTATGTGTTAGCAGTTGACATATATTTGATATTTGGGATTCTAAAGCTTCAAAATATTCTATAAATCCTTAACTTTGTGGCAGTGATACTCAAAATTTCTTATAGAAACTCAAGTGTTCCATGTTTTAAAAATTCTGCATGTTTTCTAATGATTGCTGGAGATAAGAAATGTCCTTGCTCTTATACTGTAGTAGCCTGTAGTTTAGGACACAAAGAATGTGAACAAACTAATCACTACTCCTAAGAATGGTGACTGGGTAGATCTTGTGGCAGTCTTGTGGAGGCAGCCACAGCTGCTATAAACTTCCGAATGTGCAGGCCTGTCATAGCAGAATTTCTGCATTAACTTCTATAATATTGAAAAAATATCTTGCCATCTGACAAGAGCATTAGGCTTGAAGTAGAATCATATAGGATCAGTGATAATATAGCTATCCCATGAGGCTATAATAAGAAGTAATTGAAATTTTCTATTTTTTGTAAATACTAAAGCTCTCCAATGTATTTTTATTTTATTTTATTGTATTTGATTTATAATACACTTTATTTTATTTGTAAAGCAAATGTTTATATAAGAGGGGTATATAAATAATCTAGAAAAACTAAAAGGTACTTTAGCATGAGAGGTTTTGTAATAAATATTACAGATTAAGTGATTATTTCTTGTATTCTTACCAGTTAATGTCTGATTATAGGGAGCATTGGCTGCTGCAATACATTCTGACCAGATCTGACTTTGTTCATCGTAAGACATCACGAAGAGAAAATCACAGGCAGCCGCAATTCCAGTATAATTATAGCACCTTTTGTCTATGTTCTTTGGTGACCAAGCTACATCAAAGGTTACCTGTGAAAAAACCCTATTATTTAATATAACATGATAAGGTACATTATATCAGATTTTTATCATACATTCTCTTGCCTAATTCCACTCAAGAATAAAGAAATGCTTACAGTGTATGCATATGTGATCTAACCCATGTAGAAGAGGTCTAATAAATATATTTTGTTACTACATTGGACTGGCCTACACATGTATCTGCATACACAAGGACCAGGAGCACAGCACTGTAAAGAAAAAGAAGTTCAATCCAAATGTACTCAGAGGCTGGGCCGGGGACTCACTGGCTGAAAGAGGCCAGTTTAATAGTAACACACAATGGTGGTCCCTTAAAGAAGAGCTAAGTGAAGCCACATGAAAATAAATCAAACATAGAAAACTTTACTGTGTGGGCTACATAGGTCACCTGTTGGTACTGTCTGATGGTATTTTGAGTTAGTCCCTGATTCATAATTGTATGACATGGTAGGGAGGGCCCAATATTGCAGTCAGAGAATTGAGCTCCATCCATCAACTCGAAACGCTTAACATATCACTTAAATGGTTTTCGTTTCTGGAAATAGCCAAATGAAACAGGTAATAAATTCTCCTGTACTTTGAATGTGATCATCAAGGCTGAGTCTCTTAAAATATGTTTACTTTAACTAAATATTAAAGTTTTGTTGTATAAAAGCATTCTAAAATTCCACCAAACGTTTTCCCCTTAATCAGGCACCCAGTAAACACTTAGAAATTATAATGAGTCTATATAAAAGCTTTGTATATTTTCTAATTTATCTTAGCAGAATTTCCAGACTTTCTCAAAGTTTTCCTTATGATTCATTGACTACTAACAGTTCTACTACAAATGGTTATGAAGTAAAATTTTTACATATTGGATCCATTTTGTCACTGCCTCTTAATACAAAATGGGAGTTGTGTGGCAGTAATACAAAGTGAGTGAGTGCCTCTAAGGAGTTAAATTTCCAGTCTACTCTGTTACTATTCATATATCTTGAATACTAAGCATATTTTCACTTGAATTGCCTGTCACAGTTTATCTTACACTTCTGAGAAAGTAGTGGTTAGAGACAAAAAACTCAAAGCCTTGAGTTTTAGTATGAGCTCTTACAGCTTAGTCACATAAAGCATCTGTCTTAGGGTTTCTATTGCTGTGAAGACACACAATGACCATGGCAACTCTCATAAAGGAAAACATTTATTTGGGGCTGGCTTACAGTTTCACAGGTTTACATTGTCGTCATGGCAGGAAGCATGGCGGCATGCAGGCAGACATGGTGCTGAAGAAGTATCTGAGAGTTGTACATCTTGACCCTCAGGCAAGAGGAAGTGAACTGTCTACTACACTGTATAACGTGAGCATATTAAGACCTCAGAGCATACCCCCACAGTGACATACTTCCTCCAACAAGGCCACACCTCCTAATAGTGCCATGCACTATTGAACAAGCATTCAAGCACATGAGTCTATCGGGCCATTCCTATTGAAACCATCACAGCATCTGAGTCTACTTTCAGAACAAGGATATAAAAAGAACTCTCTGCAGGTACCTCTAGCTCTTCAATGCTGACTGCATTCCAATGAAGCTCAGATCCCACTCAAGGCTCTCTTTTTTCCCGGAATTTTTGTTTTTCTGATCTCTAGCTTAAGAACTGTTGAGCCATGTCGTGAATGACTCCTTTTTGAGTGGTCTAACATTTGTTCTGTTCCTTTTTTATAATGAACTTCTCAAGTATTATTTCAAGACTAACCCTGTATAAATGATATATACCTTTTAAAATATTCCTTTTAATTTATTCAGGACCAGCAAGATGGCTCAGAGTAAAGGCACTTGCCACCAAGCGCAGAAACCAGAGTTTGTTCTCTGGAACTGATTGAAAAAGAGAAATGACTTCACAGACTTGTCCTTTGACCTACACACACACACACACACACACACACACACACACACACACACACACTCATTCATACACAGACTAAATAAATGTAAACTTAAAAAGTAATTCTACAAATATTTAGCAAACATTTCCTGAATGCAAGAGTGGTGCCAACATCCCAATAGAAACCATAAATCTCCTTCCCACTAGGTATGTCCATCCTTGTGTCATATAGCTTACTAATGAGTCAAAAATTCATGACATCCAGCTCTGCTAGAATCACCTAAAGCACATGGTAAAAATACAGTTCCCCACGTTCTATCCCACACTCAATAAATTAGTGTTAGGAAATTTTAAATAGCATCCTCACGTGATCCTGGAGCAAGTTTCAAAATCATTGGTTTATAGTACTTACAATGTTATATCTTGGATGAATATTACATGTATATATAATAGATACCCAGTATATATTTATTGTACATATTCTATATAATTGTGAGTTCTGCATTCATTGATTCTACCAAGTATAGGTAAAAATATTTGCTAATTGTCTATAATGAACATGTGTGGAAATTTTTATTTATAGGATCAGCAATATAATGATGTAACAACTATATAGGTAGCATTAACATTGCATTAGGTATTATAAGCAACAGAAAGATGTTTTAAAGTATATGGGCAGTTTTTTGTTTGTTTTTGTTTTTCGAGACAGGGTTTCTCTGTATTGTTTTGGAGCCTGTCCTGGAACTCGCTCTGTAGACCAGACTGGGGTTAAAGGTGTGCACCACCAACACTCAGCAGTATATGGGCAGTTTTGCATAGGTTATACCAAATACTTTGCCATTTTGTACATGACATTAACATTTATAGATTCTGATGTCCAGAGTCCTGGAAACAACTTCCATGGATACCAGGGAGTGTGTGAGTCCTGCTTAAATATTTTGGCTTTATTGAGACAGCATCTCACTATGTAGCTCAGGCTAGCCTTGAAATCCCAGTCTTCCTGTCTCTATCAATTAAACACTGGGATTAAACATGTACCATCACATCTAGCAGGACTTTAAATGTTTAGAGTCAAGGATCATTAATTTGCCCAGTGTGGAGGTTTGAATAGGAATGGCCCCCATAGACTCATGTGTTTGAATGCTTGACCCATAGGGAGTAGCACTATTAGGAGGTGTGGCCTTGTTGGAGTGGGTGTGCCATTGCTGGAGGAAGTGTGTCACTGCAGAGGTAAGCTTTGAGGTCTTATATGTTCAAGCTATACCCAGTGTGACAGTCTCCCTCTGCTGCCTGTGAACCAGGATGCAGAACCCTCAGCTGCTTCTTCATCAGCACCAGAATGCTTGCATGCCACGATGCATCTTGTTACAATAATAATGAACTAAACCTGTGAAACTATAAGGCGGCCCTAATTAAATGTTTTCCTCTATAAGAGTTGCCATGGTCATGCTGTTGCTTCACAGCAATAGAAATTGTAGCATGAATAATAAAACCCAGGGACACATTGGGGTTCAAGCTGAAGATCAGAAAAGCAAAGCAGCCAAGCCACCAGAACGCTCAGCTCTACCAAGGCTATGGGGAGATTCTATCATCAACATGGCTGGAGACTAACTGCACTCAGACTGTGGCTGGAGACTGAATACAGATTGCCCAGCACCTGTGTATATACCTCTCTAGTGCTGGGACTAAAGGCGTGGGCTCTGTTTCTCCTTTAGACTGATTCACTCTCATGTAGCCGAGATCCATCTGCCTGTCTCCTGGGTCCTGGGATTAAAGGTGTGTGCCACCACGGCTCAGCCTCTATGCATTCTGACTTTCAGTGTCTTTATTAGATCATAAACAATATATCACCACAAGAAACCCTAACTAAGACAATCTTTTCTTCAGTGCTGGAGGTTTGGAGCCATGCGCATATTTCTGGAAGGGACTCTCCAGTGTGTGTACACAGGTGTTGAGGTGTTTATTCTTTTTTCAGACCCCAGGTTCTCTTAATACATGGGCATGCTTGACAACTCTGACCTGGAGGCACATGGCCCTTTGCTACTTACTCATTGTCTGGCAAGACACCTTGTGCGGAGATCTGCTATCATTAGGGTCAAGGCCTGCTGTCACAGTTCTGCCTGGCTGTACGGAGTTAGTCCTTCTCTCTCGTGGGCCCCAAGTGTTTTGCAGATAATGTAAAGACAGAGGGCGAGGCGACTCCCCAGCACTCCACCTCTCCCTCCGTGCCTGCAGTTGAGGCCCCATTGGCTTCTTGCTGCCCCATAGCCTGCAGGCCAGCAGACAGAACAGTCCCAGTGTTGATATGAATAGAAACTTAAATAATATTAACACTCCGAAAAGGTGTCCTGGGAAATACACGCAGAAATTCTTTTCACCATTGCTATAAAACTAAGATACCTAAGTCACACCTTCATGAATATAATTTTATTAAAATGAAAATCCAGAAACAACAAAAGTGAACTTCACTTACCTGAGACCCCTGAATCTCCCGATGGAAGTGCTCCGTGGTTTCCTCAACCAAAGCTGTCAGGGCTCCATACTCAGGTGATGAGCAATCAACTTCTTGCTCTATGTCTATATTAATTCCATCCATATATTGTATTTTGGCCAAATTCACTTTTTGAGCTATCCACGATGCTCTGAAGGTAGGGTCAATGATATCCTTCAGGGAGACATCACCTTTGGAAGACACAGACATAATTATACAGATGCCTTTTCATAGTTAAAAGCCATTTACGTCACTAAGCCACTCCCAGAGCCGTCAAAATGGCCTGGAGACACACAGTAATTTTTGGAATAATAAGCCTCTAATTTGCTTTCCAAATGGAGAAATATTTTGCCAAGTATCAGCCACTGCTTACTAATCTTCAAAATGGTCATTATGAGTAAAATCACTGAAAATTAGAAGCAGGACTTGTAGACCCTGACTAAAAGTTAGCAGGCTGCAATTAGGCAATCACATTTTATTTAATTCTTTTTTTAAAAATTATTTTTGGACTAGATTTAACAGTATCTACAATTAACTTTAGGTCTTGATAAAAAGAAAGGCATAAAAATGACTATAGTAAATAATTCACTTTTGTTTTTTCCCCCATTGGCTAGACACATGTGTCTGCTAATAACATACCTTTTAGCACTACTCTGGCTCCTTTTGAATGAGCGTAACACATAAGTTCTGAGTCATATTTTCCAAAAACTGCCACAGTTGTAATCTGTGACCAGTCATAAGATTTCCAGGTCTTCTGTCCAACATCAAATACAAAGACCTACCAGGAAAGCAGGGGCGGGCAACACTTAATCAGCGATTATCATACTGACATCCAGACACATGAACCGCCCCCATATGTCAGGTATTGTGGTGTTGGACACGTGGACAGAGCCTTCGGGTTACCTAATGGAGTGCCGGCTATGTGAACCTGGAAGAACTGTGTGAGCCCTGAAGACAGCGAGAACACAGTGACTGTGAATGTTTGGTGTGGCAGATACCTAGAATTTGGAGGAAGTACAGAAAAGAAACAGGGTGGTTAATCTGGGGTACACGATGAACAGCCATGTCAGTAATTCAGCCCTGTTGAGAAGTTAGTATCCTGAGGGGAAGGGAGAGGACAGAAGCATTCTTTTTTTTAGTAAAACCGCTTTATTGTAATGGACTCGCATAAGAAGGTCGCTCATCTACACTAAGGTAGCCACTCAAACACCAAATTACATCTCATTGAACCTCTACGTAGACGGAATGGCCTTTCTGAAGCCATGGAGGTTCACTTAAGGTTTTGTACTTTTACTACGGCTTAATTTTTTTACATTCATCCTCCGAACAAGCAAAGATCTGTGACAGAGTTGAAACGAGAAGAAATCCGCTTTACACATTTATGGTTTTGTATCCTTTTGTTTGTATTCCTCATCACCTAATGCTAAGACACATGATCAAATTTGTTCCTCCAGCATCCCCTGCCTCAAAGATAATTCCACAGGCACAAAAGATTCCCTGATTGTGTTCCTTTTACTTCAAGGTATCAATTTATGGATTTATTAAATACTTAATGGATTCCAGTAAAATGTAGGAGTGCTCTGCACTAGAGGCACAGAGGTTAATCTGTACCACTGTCCACTAGGAAATTAATTACAACAGCATTAAGGCTACAGGGGCCTGTGATACCATATAAAGGGAATCTGCTAGCCAGGTGATGCAAGAAATCCAGGATGACTGCAAGTTAGGGGAAGTCTGGAGGACGAAAAGGAAGATGTACGTACAGACAAGTGAACATCTGTAGATGAGGAACAGAGTCAACATCTTTGCAACTATGTATTCTAAGATTCTGGAACTGAAAAGAAGGTAGATACACACAGAAATGCTAAAGAGAACACAACACATAGAACTAATGATGGGTGGTGCTCTCAAGCAACACTCGGAGGATCACAGAATTGTCGTTTACCTGGGGCGCCATTAGTGCTTGAATCAGGGATGGCACATGGCGCTGGCACTATAATAGGGACCAGGGGGCATGGATGGGGAGGGCTGTGTATAGCACCACAGTAATAAAGGCCAACGTTTCATTTTCTCATCCTCCCTTTTACATTTCAGAATCAACTATCTAATAAACTGAACACAGAATGTGAAACTAAATGGCCCAGTGTTTTAATTCTCATAATTAAGATCAGTTTGTTAAAAGGAAAACAACAAACAGCTAGAGCCTGTGATATAAAGCAGCCACTCCCAATCTTGAAAATACAAAGGAAGGGTGTATTGGGTCTGTGATATAAAGCAACCACTCCCAATCTTGAAAATACAAAGGAAGGGTGTATTGGGTCTGTGATATAAAGCAACCACTCCCAATCTTGAAAATACAAAGGAAGGGTGTATTGGGTCTGGCACAGGGGAGTGTGGTGTCTTATTTAGGGTTACTATTGCTGGGATGAAACACAACTTGGGGAGGAAAGAATTTATTTAATTTATGATTCCACATCACAGTTCATCCTTAAAGGAAGTCAGGACAGGAACTCAAACAGGGAGGATCCTGGGGGCTTGCCCAGCCTGTTTACTTAGGGAAGCCAGGACCACCTGCCCGTTATGGGCTAGGCCCTCCCACTCTACCATGCCAATCACTAATTAAGAAAATGCCCTGCAGGTTTGTCTACAGGATCTTCTGGAGGCATTTTCTCAACTGAGGATCCCTTCTCTCTGACTACTCTTGCTTGTGTCAAGTTGACATAAAACTAACCAATACAAATGGTGTTTACCCTCAAAGCACAGTATCTCCCCACACACACAAATATATACAGTGGGGAGGAAGATTGTATAATCTAGTCTTCCGCGTTCAAAGAACAAAAAGCCAGAAAAGGCCTCATTTACTAATGGATGAATGAGCATAATTTTCTTTCTGTGCGTGTGTAACTCAAACTGCTTACAAATACTAAGTCACCCACTAAGTATCGAGTGAGTGCCACAATAAATCAGATTGTTATAAAAAAAATCTTAATCAGGGGAGGAGCTCCAGTCTGAAGCAGCTGAGTGCCTTAGAGACCTACTTAGCCAATCAGAACCAGCCAGCCAATCATAAACAAAAATGTAAACCGCTATCCATTGGCAACCAATTACTCCTCTTCCGGATTCAGCCCATAAAAGGCCCACTACACGGGATTCTAACTTCTGAGCTTTCTATGCGTGCTGCCAGTGACCATTGCTCAAATAAACGTTAATGGACCTAAACTTTTCCTTTTAAAGGACGTTAGGTTTTCACAGTAGGCAGAGTCTACAAAAACACTGTTTTTTTTCTAAACAGGGATTTAAATATCTATGGCTCAAAACCAAATTCAATAAATAGACCCATGAGCTGTTCCTTCGTTGTGCAAATGTTTTAGACTCGACCCTCTGACCTCTCTGATTTCCTCCAGGTCGAGCTACCGCTGTCAACTCCAGTTAGGTGGTTTCAGCATCGCTCCTAAGAATGTGACGTTGCCAGAAGCTTTATAAAGTTGGGTTAAAGGAAAATTTACTCAAATACTTGTTTTTTTGGGTGAGCGTCCATACGAAAGAACTACTCAGCATCAAGAGTAAAGGACGGACTTTGGGGGGCTGAAACTTTTGGCAACCGAGAACCGGTTGCCCTGCCCTCCCGGCAGGAGGCCGTGGCAGGAGCACGAGCGGGGATCCAGCCGGCAGCGGCCGGGGAAGCGGCCCAGCCTCGCGCCCAGAGTTCCTGCCTCCTCCGAAGGGAATCCGAAAAGAGGAAGGCTCGGGTGGCTCAGGCTGCTGCGAGCGCCACGACTTCTCTCGCGGCCTTGAGGACCAGACGGGTGGCAAGGGAGTGCTGACCTCGAAGTCGCGGCGTTGGCGGATCGGCCGGCAGAGCGCAGCCTCGGAGCACGGGCAGTCCCCGGCCGAGAGCCCGGGCGCCAGCAGCGGCAGCAGCAGCAGAGCGAGTCCCGCGACGTCGCGCAGCGCCATGCCTGGGGCGGAGGATGCGGCTCAGGCACCTCCCGGAGGGCGGGCCCTGACGGCGGGAGGGCAGGGGGCGGGGCCTCCGCTGGGGGCGGGGCTGCCTCTGAGGGGCGGGGCCTGCTGCGAGTCGTGGGTGAAAGCAGCCTGCCGCGGGTGGGGGAGGCCCGGGGGCGGGGCCTGCTGCGGGGGGAGGGGCCAGAGGGCGGGGTTGCGGGCCTACAGGGCGGGGCCTGCTGCGGGGTGTGTGGGACCCCTGCCCGTCAGCAGCTATGCAGCGTTTGAGTACAGGGAAGAGGCAGGTCTCAGCTCCCCCACTTCCATCCTGTCCGCGGGCTCTGTACCCCGCCATCCACAGCTGTGTGCTCTCGAAGTTGTCTGCTCACCCATCCCACGGTTGTTTTGGAACCACTTGCTTAGAATTGCTCCCCCACACACCCCTGCCTGAAGCTCAGCACAGTGCTTGGCTTGTAGGAAATACTTCATAAGTAAACTTCAAGAGCTCATGCTTTAAAAAGAAAACTCAAATTCGATTTAAAGAAAAAGGGGAGACATTCTTTTCCAAGTCTCTACACAAGACTTGGTTGTGTGTATTGTGATTTTCCGGCATAAAATAAAGTGAATTTAAAGATAAAACAGACCCTGTGCTGTTATCTTAGCATGAGAGCTTGGCTTCAGGAAGAATCTTTCCTTTTGTTATGGGAACATGACAGGGGAGTTTCAACAGATTCTGTCACAGTGGTTCCCAACCTTCCTACTGCCGCCACTCTTTCGTACAGTTCCTCATGTTGTGGCAAGCCTTCCCCCACCCAATAAAGTTGTTTTTGTTGCTACTTCTTAACAAAACTTTTTGCTACTGTTTTGAATTGTAATGTAAATGTCTTGTGTTTTCTGATGGTCTGTGAAATAGTCGTTTGACCTCTCCCAAAAAACTGTCGTTGACACACAAGTTGAGAGCCATCACTCTGTCAGATCCTGTGACTGCGCCTACAATTTTCTGCTTGGCCAAGTGCAGTAAATGCTAGGAGTAAAGTACAATTACAAATTACCATGTTTCTTTGGGGGATTCTCCTGTCAAAGCATCAACAGGAATAAATCTTCTCTTTATGGCTTTAAAGGAAACTGAGTGTCGTTAGACTCATAACAATTAGAACACCAATTAGAACACATGAGTTTAAGTTTACTGTAAATCCCTAAACGCCAATAAAAAATGAAAGTATTATCAAAACAAAGATCTCTCTGAGCTCTCCAAGAAGAGGATCAAACAAGACAGCTAGAAACAGAACAAATTAATATGCTTCTAATCTTTGCAGATTGGCTTTCTTGTCCGAGTTTCTCTTCCTGTTGCTGTAATTCAGAAGTTACTTAGAACCGGCCATGCTGGTTCCGGTTCAAGGGTGCGCTCTGCTATGGCAGCCAAGTCAAGGCAACAGGATCGTGAAACACCTGGTCACAGTCAGAAGACAGGATGAAAGCATGCTGGCACTCAGCTAGCCTACCCTTTAGAATGCAGGGTAGGAACTAACCCAGAGAATGCTGCGGCCCGTGTTGCTGCCTTCCTCCCACAATTAGCTTGATCATAGGCACGCCCAGTGTGTAACCTAACCTAGATAATCCAAGCCTGGAGGCGTGCCTCCTAGATTCCCCTACATCTGGTCAGGCTGACAAGTAACCCTGTACCCCAATTTCATTCTCTGGAAGTCTTCTTGGGGGTCTGCAGGAGCAGCATCCTTCAGTCTTATGACCAGTGTGTTGAGAGGGCTTTTGCTCTGCTACTTTTGCTCTGATATGCACTGACTCCTTACCCTCACGTCAGAGTAGCAGCCATGGTTCCCAGTCTTATGTTACAGACAATAAAGCCAAACTGTAGGTGGGTGGTCCAAGGAACTGATGTTGGCAAATGGGAAGCAGGGATTTGACCTGAGCTTGCCTTAGCAGGTACTCTTGTTTTGGGTGTTTTTCTGTCTAAAGCCTGATTTGTGCCTCAAGGGTTGATTGTAGCTTGGTGATAGTAAGGGTGAGGCTAGGGTTTCAATGTGGACAACGGAGCTCCAAGTCAGTGATCTTCACGATGATGCCAAGCAGTCTCCATTTTCCATCAGGGAGGTGCAGCACTCAAGCTGCTTCAGAACCTATCACCTGGCTCTGAGCAAGTAATCTGTCTGCTCAGGTAGAGTTGCACAGCATCCCAGGGCCATAGGACCTCTATTTTCAATGGTAATCTCAATTCAAGTTAGGTAAGCCTACGGTCCATCTTACTGAGATAAAGGAAACATCCAGCCTTAGGGTGACATCTTCAGACTGACATCAAGTCAGAGGCACAGGTCAGGAGAGTGTCTAGAATCTCCAGGGCCATTTTTGAACATTGGGTGTTGATGTTACACCCATCTTTCTTTCCATAAGATAGAAGTTTCAAAGCTGGGAACTGTGACACGTCATTGATACCAGCACTGGGAAAGCTGGGACAGACAGATCTCTGTGAGTTTGAGGACAGCCTGGTCCATATAGTTAAGTTCCAGGAGTGCCAGGGCTACATAGTGAGAGCCTGTCTCAAAAAAAATGTTTTTAGCTTAGCTTTTTTGCTTGGCTCTTTCAGAATATGCTTGCCATTTTACGAAGCAACACAACCTTTTTAAAGAAAATTAATAATTGCAGACAGTTTCTTGACCTTTGGTTAAAAATTGTCTTATTGTTCCTAGCCCTGTATCTTGGGAACTTGCTAGAAATGGTGATCTCTCTTATGTGGGGGCGGGGAATCTTCACTATTTGAATACAAACAGCCAACATTTCCTCCCCTGGCTCCCAACTCCTTTCCTCCTCTAGCTATATCAACCTGCTTCTCCAGTCCATGACCTAACAGTTTCCTGACTGTCATCATCCCACTCTGAGTGCTTTTCAATGACCTCTAAGGACAGCGTGTATGGTACTGGTACTTCCAGACACTCCAGCCTGGGAAGGGCCTCTGCACCTACAGCAGAACTGGTAGGTACTCTTACGAGCTGATGTGCCTTTGTGCCTGTCACATTCCTGTGGGCTCGTAATAAATTCACAGTCAGTAAAACCTCTGTCTGTTTAAAGCCCTTCCATTCCCCTTTTACTAATGCACTGATCTTGTTTAACTTGTCTCAGGAAAATCCTGTAAAACTGCATCTTACTTGAACCAGTCCATCCTGCATGTGAAGACGGTGCCTTGCGTGTACTTCAGGGCCAGAGGCTCGGAAAACAGGCTGACAATCTGCAAACAGAATACCCATCGATGGCTTTTAGTGGCATGGCAATCATTACCAGAGAAGATTGGGGGAGGCAAAACCAACAGCCATGAACCCTTCCAACCAACGGCATGCTTCCCATGGCCTCAGGCTCCCCTGAAGAGGCCCACTATCTACACCATCATAATGAGCACCGAGCCTCTAAAAGAAAAGACCCTCTGTGAGTAGAAACCACATCCAAGCCATAGCCACAGCTGAGAAGCAAAGCTGACCAGGCCCGGCAGTGGTGTTGCTTTTCTGCCGGCACTCTCCCTGCCTGGACAGGAGAGGGAGAGAGATCTCCCACTGACGATGCATCCAGGTCTCCATTGAGATGCTTAAAAGACAGACGTGAAAACCTATACGCCAACACTGCTGTAGGAAGGTGCTCTTTGTGTTTACCGCCTGTCAGTCAGAGGCACACATTCCTCACTGAACTTAACATTCAGTCAGAGCGAGAGATACACTGTATTCACCCTCAATGATGAGTGCCAAGGGACTGTTACCCCCTTGCTGACGCTCCATTGTGTTCAGGGAGAACGACCAGTTTGCACCTGAGGCAATGGGAACGCAGTCACCATGCAGGAGTCTGGAGGAGGCCCGACTGTGAGCAGAGTACCCCTTTCCCACTCCTAACTGCAGTGGTGACATTGGAGAAGACAGCTCTGCCCGCTTGATGGCATCAGGTAGTATTTCTTGGAAAAAAGAAGGAAATAAGTTTCACAGAACAAGTTTCACAGAAATGAGCTCACCAAGGTTGAAAGAAGTAGCCAGCTGCTGATGTGTTTGCGGCTATGGTGCTACCATACTTTGCAACGATCCGAGGCAAAGGGCTAAGGATGTAAAATGAAGACAAAGACTGTGGCTCATTCTTACAAGGAGAATGGCGTTTATTATTACAAGGGCAGAGCCTTAAATACCAAAGGCAGGCATGGTGGAAAATCCCCAAGGTCAGAAACCCAAAAAGAGGGACATGACAGATCCAAAGATGAATGGGGGGGGTGAGTGTATGGTCTTGGCTATGGGTAGCAAGGCATACAGTTGAGGTTGAGCGGCCTGAGGGGGAAGCATCCATGGAGGAAATCTTTTTTAAAGATTTATTATGTATGCACGAGAGCACACACACACACACACACACACACACACACACACACACACACACACACACACACACACACCAGAAGAGGGCACCAGATCTCATGACAGATGGTTGTGAGCTGCAATGTAGTTGCTGGAATTGAACTCAGACCTCCGGAGGAGCAGCCAGTGCTCTTAACCCTGAGCCATGCCTCTAGCCCCCATGGAGGAAATTTTTATAGTTGTCCTTTTGTGAGTGGTGCATGCTAATGTGCCTTTGTGTTAAGACAGCAGTTGCATGGTTTCTGCAAGGGGTAGTGAGACATGCAACCCCATTAACAACCTAGACAGGAAGTCACTGAAGAGAGCCTTAAAAACTGAGATAAGCGTCCCTAAAGTGTAGTTCTCCACATAGAGTCTACTGGTGGGGGTAGGGAAGGACACAGGGAGTCTGACCATGCCCCAGTGACTATAAAGTCAACACAGACTGGACCTGTTTCCGCCCCTTTTTAAAGATCTTTTTTGGGGAGGGAGGGGGATGCCACAAGGGTGGACCTGGGAGGACTAGGAAGAGTAATCTGGGTGCTTTAGGTGAAATCCCCAAATAATCAATAAAAATATCATAACCATATATGACTATACACACAGTTGAATTAACAAGGACCTAGAGATTGGTAAGCAACTTTGGTGGCTTTGCTGAGTCCTCTGGTGGGACAAGACCTTTATAAAGCAGGAAAGGCTTTGGTGGCTCCCAGTGACATAGACCAACATGTAAAGAGTGTCTGTAAAGGTAAAACACCAAACTAGAGGAGTGTGGGGCCTTTCCCTCTCGGCCTGTGGGGAAAGAGACAGAAGCATGCCAGAAAGCTTTGCACAAGGCCCACGAGCATGAACAGAGACAGGCCTCCGGGACACAGATTTCAAAGAGTCAGCTCAACTTTATTCCGGAGTGTAAGGCATATATAGGATTGGGGAGCCTGGGGACAAACCCTCACGTGTGATAGGCACGCTCCTATCACAAGGCTTAGTATGCAGCAGCAGGGTCCTATAGCAGAGCTCCTAGTATGAGTCTTCTCAGCAGGGATCTGTGCCAAGGGTCAAGCTAATGATGAGTCTGGCATCCGGTTTACAGACAGCTTTTAGATGAGGTCAGTCCTCCAGGTCCAGAGACAAGTCTCCTGAAAAGGGTGGGTGGAGAGCAGGAAGCCTGCTGGGAGGGGCGGGAGTTTCCATATTGCTGGTCCTAGATGGTTGCTAGGATACGGCAGACCGCAACCTTTAACCATCCAGCAAGGCATTCCAATAAGATTTCTATGAATGGTTGCAGTGGCTCTCGAGAGTTGTTGGCAGGGGGGAGCCCCGGGGCCCCACAAACAATAAAAACTATTGCTCCTGCTGTTTGGGTTTTATGTCAGAATTAGATGGGAAGGCGCTCTTGCTAAAGACACTGTGGGCACATGCTCTGAGTGCGGAAAACGGGGAAATTACGGTGGGAATGAACTGGGAGCTCACATCTTCCAGGCGGGCTCTTTCACAGGGCCAGAAGGAGTCACCACGCAGGCTGCTGGTGGAGAACTGTCACCAACATTGCTGCGTGGCTGTGGACCTGCATGCCAAACTACACGCATGCCAGGTAGATATGCCGGGTTGTGCTACAGCGGCCAGAACTATTAAAAAAAAAAAAAAAAAAGGTCAGGAACTGCGTCAGCGGGAGACGGGGGAGCTGGAGAGATGCTTAGCATTCGGGCTCACTCTCACAATCTGTCCTTGGCCTATCGCTTAACGTGGGCTTGTTAAGTCTTACGAGAAGGGTGTTAATATTCTCTCAAACGTCTATGACAGTTCCCAAACAAAATGTGTTCTGTACACCGTATTTTAATAATTAAATGGGTCAAATATCATTTGAACATCTTAAAATCTATCATGAAAAAGATTTTACATACCAGTGTTAAGGTAAATGCTTCTTCCAAAGACAGACTATTTGAAGTTCCCACTGTTACTAGTAAATTCAGTGCAGAACCGTGCTTTTGTCATCACTGAGAGATGAAATACCGGTGTCCGCGCCATTCCGCAGCAGATGTCAGGGCTGTCGGGAAGGGCTAGCCTCTCAGGTCTGGACCTCAGGAGCGCGGCTCACCTTCCGCCAGGCTACTTTCTCATCTGACAGTGCTGGGACCACAGTTGTCCTTCACTGAGGGGAGAGACCCCAACTCAACATTTCTAGACCCCTAGTGACTAGCCCATCACAGAGTGACTTGCCCTTCTGCCCTCTCCTGAGAAACCAGAGACCTCAAGATAAACCTAAAAGATAACCCTCCCTGATCCAGGAACTACCTCACCACATTCCTGCTCAGTGTTTAACTGTATAATGCCCACAGAATGCTTGCTTGAGATAACCTATAACCTTCCTGTTAAGACATAAGCTATCATTTAGCTTCCTCATCCTTTATGATGTTTGCCTAACTCCCCGATTCGGTTTTTCCCTTTTAAAAACCCCCGACTGCAGTTACTAGGGGTTGAACTCCTCTGCCCCTTCGAGGGTTATGAGCTAGGCCCCAGTGCACTGGTTCCCCGAATAAACCTCGTGTGCTTGCAGCAAGAATGGTCTCTCTTGAATTATTGGGGTGTTGGCTTATCCCGAGACTTGAGTGAGGGTCTCCCCACTCTGGGGGGTCTTTCAAGGGGAAGATGGGGCTGGCTGAGATACACAGGACTCACAGGAATCAGAGCCCTTTGGATTATGTTGTGTAACTTTTACTATGCGGAGTGCGATCTCTTCTACCCTAAAACTCTGCTAAGAATCAAGCCCAGACATTAGAAACAGAAAACTGGCCGTCTCGGTGGGCAGAGCTTTAGAACTAAGGCCACTGTTACTGTCCCTTCTTCCAATGAAGAAATGTGCTGCTTAATTCAACCCAGCAATATTTACAACTTCCCAACACATATTATGCTGCTATCTGTTAATGGGTACACTTGACAAAGATATTCCAAAATTTTAAACAGGCAAACACTGCTATTCCCAAGAATTCACAAAAATAAAACTAGTCAATTGGTGGTTTTAGATCAAATCATTTAATCAATAGTCCATTCCATTCTAATTTACATTCAGCTCCCAGGAGAAAAAAAACAAAATCACCAAACACTCACTTTAGGAAAAAAGACTGAAATCACCCACGTCATGATCTCACCACGGGCTCTCATCTCTGCTTGGTTTCTGTGGGATGGTGATCCATTTCCCCCAGTGGGGATGAAGTCTTAGCTGCTTTGCATATCAACACTCGTGAAAAACAAGCCCTGCAAACGAATGCATGAATTCAATAGTGTACCCCACAGGAAAGGCCAGCAGGACTGCTGCTGTTATGAAATGGACGAGCGGACCTGGAACAGCCCAGATGTGTGACGAACGATGTAGTTTTGCAGCTGGCATTCAACTCAGGGATTCTCAGTGACAGTGGCGGGGTGAGTATACCCCCCTCTGATCCTCGGGGTCTACATGACAAAACCCAACATAACAGCAGGTCCTCTGCCCCTGTTTACTGAGGGGAAGACAAAACACGAACATAGGGCAAAGGGTACTTACTAAAGAACCAAGATTCAACCCAAGAGCATGCTCTACATCGGTGTATGTCATTCTAAGAACGTTTACAGCAGGTAATCAGAGGGCTGCTAACCTACAGTGCTCCAAACTCCCACTTCAGAGGCCACCCCTGGGGTCCCGAGGCCTTCCAGATGGACCTCCTACAAGGGAGGTTAAAATTGGATTTCAGGCACTCTCCTCAACATGCAGCATAGAACATGTTCCCCACAAAAATCAGGTGATCACAAAGTTTTGGACAATCCTACTTAGCTAGGATAGGAACCAAACAACATCCTGCATTTCATTTATATAATGAATGAGGCAAACAACTTGCTGTGGATAGTCCTGTAAACCAGAGTCATTTAATATTTGCTTCTGTAAGAAAATACTCCTTTATTGAATCTTAGCCATGGTTTCCTCCTGTTACTGATTTTTCTATTAAGTTTCTAATTATTTTAACTAACAGTTACTTAAGAGTAGGAAACTATCAAGTTTTCAGGGCCATTCTTAAGTTTTGAAAATTCAAAGTGGGTTTGTCAAGTATGTAAAAACCAACTCGAGTTACAAAGTTTTAGATTTCCATGTTGATAAACAAGAAAGCAGGAAGATTACCAGGAGGCTTCTGAGCAGAGACACTGACAGTATCGATTGAGCCATGACACCAGCATGGCTGTGTTTCTTGCATACAGCAAATGCCTGCACTAGAGAGGCAGAATCCCATCAATTCGTGCTTTGCAACACAGTACCACCCAACCCTCTGGGAAGTCTGGGTGATTGGGGATCATTTTAGAATTGGAATGGGCAGCAAGACAAGAGAGCTAGGAAGATACACAGCTTTTGGCAGATAGCAAGGGGATCTGGCTTCTATGGTTTCCTTCGCACCCTAACGTCTCAAGGAATTCTTTCCAGTCTGACAATTCAGCCTGGACACCACCCCCGCCAAAAAATCAGGTGTTCCTTTCCAGAGAACCCTCCTATGGAATACAGCACAGTTATGATGAAAAGCAGCACGGGTTGTAGCCTACAAAGGCTGTCATGGAGACAGACCCCTGTGGGGCAGAAATAACCAGTAACTACTTCCACACTTTGATTGCCTTTCTGCAGCAGCAAGGTAATTATCCCAGCTGGCTGGCTGCTCTGGACTATAGCAGTGACTTTAAAGAGTAAAGAAGTGACTGTGCGACTCACCCTCACAAGCCAGCTCCTGGAACTACGGGCACGGCTGCTACCAAGAGGACGCTTACTTCACAGCAATGCCTCATCAGGTCCTGCGTCTTACCAGCGCCAGCCAGACAAATGGCCGCTGCTGCATGACCCCACAGTCACGCCGTCAATGAACGACACAAGTTTTCTTTTGGTAGCATGATGAATTTAATGCAACAGCCACAACAGGGGCAAGGAGAGGGAAAGGCAGACGAGCCTAAGCTGCATTGTGGAGCAAGGACTTGTGTAGGCTTCTGTGTGCAGAGACAAACAAGCAGGGAGGCACTTAAAAGCTTTTGGATGAAAATCCATCCAAGAGAAGCCTGGGCCTCCTCTACAATTATTATTATTGTCATTACTATCAATAGGAACATACTTCTCATGAAGAAACATGCAGCAGAAACATTGGAGACAAAAGAGCCTAAGATTGTTCTGAAAACGAAATGACACAAGAGTGTCCAGAATGTCATATCTCAATTATAAAAGTCAATGTTTCACATTGTCTTATTTCTTTAGTAGTAGTATCTAGTTGAAAATTTTTTAATTACAAAATTATTGGCAATGATATAAAGCCCTGGCTGGTACAGCTATTACTATACTGGTACCCATTTGGTAAGGAAAATATCACCATCCAGCTATCTTAAATATCCTTTATCATCCAAATATCTTAAACCAATGCTCTTATATTGTTATTCAAAGATACTCTTTTTGTCTTTCCCCCATTACTCCATAATCAATATTCCTCTTAGAAATTATAACATTCACATATATAAAATAAAATATAATGCTTTAAAAATCTCAAAAATGTAATGTTAGTAGTTCTAGTTATCTCAACTTAGCTTTCATGGAGTGGCTTTGAGTTTCTATTGCCCAGATGGCTTAAAATAAAATCTTAAATGTCATGTGGCAGTTGTCCTAACGCATCTGTAAACACAATGCCACTGAAAACATTTTATTGGCATGAAATACTACACTCAAGCACTGTGTGAAATTTTTAAACCTTAAAGCCTCTCAACATAATCATGTATATCTCTATGTACAGAACATACATAAATTTCACTTTATGTAAAACATATGAAAGAGGTAATCCCAAAATCACACTAAACATAATAAATATAGAACTTGCTTTGTTAAAAATCTACAGTATACATTCAAGTAAAGGCTAAACTTCCAATGCCAACCATACTGGGACAAAAATTTAATGTTTACAATAATCAGTCCCCTAAAAGTGCTATTTTCAATACCTGGAGGAGGAAGCCCACCCGTGCCTCTGTCCCATCCAAACACCACACATCCCTCTAGTCACAGAGCCAGCTGCTTCTGTCACTAACACACACCCAAAGCTTTTGCATCCTTTTCAATAGCTTACACTGCAGCTCTTTGGGGAAGACGGGAAGTCCGGACAAACAACCCAGACCATCTTAAATTAGATGACCGACTTTATGATACACCCTGTTTAACTCAGATGTGACCTCGGATGCACATTTGAGTGAGAACACCGCAGTCTCTGCATCTAAGGTAAGTCGTCTCTTTCCAGGTGAGAATTGGTGTAGGTGGAAGAGCAGCCACCGTAGCAGCCTTCCCGCGAGCCGGGTCTCGACACCACACTCCACTTCTGAGTCGCACATTCTCTTCCAACCTCATGTGGCTTGGTTTCCTCAGGAGTTAGAGTCAGCACATTGGGTGAACTCCTGAAAATAAGGCAAATCTTAACAGCTAAGAGCAGATGACCCTCAACACCTCAAGTCTGGCTGCTCCGTGTCTGTGCTAACAAACAACACGTCTTGGAAAGTGAGAGGGCACGCTTAGAACTGCCTCTATCTGAGAATCCCTTCTACCCACATCAGGTACAGACTGAGCAGCAAGATCCTCACGGAGCAGATTTAACCACCAGTTAATGATTTGCTGGCTGCGTTCACGGATTACAGTGTGGACACCACTCTGTCTCCACAGGAGAGGAGCACTAGTTTCCACAGTGAGGACTCCACTCTGTCTCCACAGGAGAGGAGCACTAGTTTCCACAGTGAGGACTCCACGCTGTCTCCACAGGAGAGAGGAGCACTAGTTTTTTAAAGGTCATGTTTTTCTTCCCCCTCCTCCTAGTATTTGCTCTGTGGCTCTCAGAAGATTACTACCTAAAAATACAGATTAAATGTTTTATACAATGATATGTATAAGGAACTTCTTTATCACCCTGAGAAAAGGCTTGATTGGCCCTTTGCCTTTCAATACCAGTGCAATGGCACACCAAAGAACTCTGGAAAACTATCAAGATGGCATTCTTTAATACAATTACAGTAGTGAGATTTTTAAGTGATTCCTGAAATGTGGTGTCCCTGTCCCTCAGGGTTTAAGGCAGGGACTCACTATGCAGCCCTGACTTTAATGTGAAACGAGCCAGATCCTCCCTTGTTCCCCACTAGACTTCATTACCTAGCACACAGCCCCCCACACTGGGCATCTCTGCACACACAGAATCCCATTTCTCTCCAGAGCTTCTACTGTACAAATACCATGTGTAACAACTGTTCCTAAGCAGCGCAATGTTAGCCATTCAGTATGAGAAGTCATTTAAAAACAATACCTGTGTTCAGACACACAGGGGCGTGTCTGGCAAATGTCTGAAGTAGAAGGTGAAGCAGGAAGAGACTTCGTCAGCTTTGATGTGGAAGTTGGTGCCCCGTTAGCCACACTGTGTGGCTTCTTTTGCCGCGGTCGCGAGTGCGCTATGAGATTGTCTGGATCAGAACCTGGTTTTTAGATAAGGGAAAGAGCAGGACACATGGTGAAACACCAGACACAGTGAAGACAGCCCACCAGGGTTAACCACTGCAGTTTGGAGAAGGATTTGAGAAAGATCAAGTTAACTGACGTCTCTGTTACATTTTCTACAAACAGAAGAATCTAGCTTAAAAATGGTCAACACCTAAAATCATGAATCTTCAAAAACATGGCATTATTATACTCTCACAAAATTAGTTTTTACGTACAAGGTCCTCCTATGAATCCACTATGACTTCAGTAAATAAGCCACTAAGTTGATTTTGGGACCAGAGGGACAGTTCCTTATTGAGTTGTATCCTATTATGGGTTGGATTCTGGGTTTGACTGCCAGCATCTGAACACACAGAGATTAAAAATAGAAAACGATGTTTCATCGATGAAGTCCTAGCAGCCAGAGTGTTCATTCTGCACACAGTGAGGCTGCAGCTCCCCTCTGCACAGAGCTGCAGCTCCCCTATGCACTGAGGTCAGCCTGCGGCGTGAGGTTGCACACAGCTCCCTCTGCACAGAGGTCAGCCTGTGGTGTGAGGTTGCACGCAGCTCCCCTCTGCACAGAGGTCAGCCTGCACACAGTGAGGCTACAGCTCCCCTCTGCACTGCGGTCAGCCTGCACACAGTGAGGCTGCAGCTCTCCTCTGCACTAGGCTGGTGCACAATCAGATCCGACAGCTTGTGAGCACTTACTTCCTGAGAAGGCACTGAAAAGTTTCACATTTTCTGAGTTCTGGTGGTCAAAGGCCGTCATGTTTAAAAACTGCTGCTTTAACCAGCTGGCTCTTTCTTCTTCGAATGCCTTTCTCTAGAGTAACAAAACAAAGAACCAGCAATTACTCCACTGTCATTTCCCATAACTTCTCCAGCTGCTTCCTCTCTGGTCACCTGTACATTGCTTGTATGAAATGGTCACCTAGAAACTTAAAAGACGCTTGAGAAAGTTATATTGAAAAAATAAAATTTGGGGGCTGAAGAGATGGTGCAATATTTAAGAGCACTTGTTGCTCTTACAGAGGACCTGGGTTCAATTCCCAGCACTTACATGGTGGCTCACAACCATCAGTAACACCAGCTCCAGAGGATGCGAGACCCTCCTGTGGCCTCTGAGGACACCAGGCACAGACCGTGCAACACAGAGACATGCATCCAGGTACAATACCCTCCTACATAAACCATAATTTTAGTAATTTAAATAATAGTAAATCACAGATTTCACTCACTGCATGATCAGAGCATTAGCAGGATTTTGAACACAACACACAACCATAAGACTGCTAGCAGAAAAATACCCTGCTTCCTTCCTAAGTCAGTCGCCTGGAAACGGATTTCCTTTTTGTTTGTTTGAGACAGGGTTTCTCTTTTCTCTGTACTGTTTTGGAGGCTGTCCTGGAACTCCCTCTGTAGACCAGACTGGTCTTGAACTCACAGAGATCCGCCTGCCTCTGCCTCCCGAGTGCTGGGATTAAAGGCGTGCGCCACCAGCGCCCGGCTTTGGAAGCAGACTTCTGACTGCATCAGGCATGTCTTTCGTCCTCCAGCAATCTGCCACAGCCACTGCCACCGCGTCACCAGAGGGCAGACCCACATCATACCAAGCATCTCCTCTGCTGGTCAGCTGTGACTCATCTGTCTGATCTGTCACTGTGCCTGTATCTGCAAGCAGGCACTCTCAGATGGCTGGAAGGACACACGACAAGTTTGTGGCCTGAGGAAGACAACTACTGATGAAAGGAACTTTACAATTGTGGAGGAAATCGGTGTTAGCCCTTAAAATAACCAGGGCGGAATCTCTCTCATAAACGGGAACGTGAAACCAAGTATCACCAGACAGCAAAGAGAACCAATGGCAGAAGAGGGAAAGGGCCAAGATGATAAACTGACCGCAGACAATGTTTCAAGAGTTCTGAAAATACTGTCACATGTCACCAGATTCTTAAATACATGCACAACAACGATAATAGGGTACAAAGAACAGGAAAATTACAAAATACTAAAACTGACCCTGAAGACAGTTTGGTGATCCAAGCTTATCCAGAACTAAGAACCCAATGTCAGCCACATCTGACAGCATGGAGAAGCCAAACATGGGGAACAAGCAGAAGAAACAGTCTCTGAAGGGTCATTTACTGAAGACATTAGACTCTTCAGGATGGAAAAAACTACCATGGATCCTGGCGAAATTAGGAACTACAAAAGTTCCATAACTTCCACAGAAGGGCATAGGGGTGGGTGCTCCACAAAATTACCTACAAAGTAACACATGCTATATTGTCATCTAGTTTCCCCTCAGCAACAGAAATTAATTCTTTCAGGTTTTGCTGATGCAATCTAACATAGTTTTAGATATTCCAACACACAGAATGGTGATGGGGGAAGTCCTGTACATTTGTTAATAAATACTGTTGAGCCAATAGAAATCTAGATAGGAGGGACTAGGAGTCCAGGAGGACTCTGGGAAGGAGAAACACAAGAGAGTTCGAGATGTAACCGCCATGGGGTAGGAAACCCGGAACTATTCTCCGGTAAGAGAAATACTTAGATTAACAATTATGGGGTAATTACTTAAAGCAGAGCTAGCCAGTAAGAGACAAGCAAGGCCAACAGCTTCATAATTAATATAGCCTCCTGTGTGTTTATTTGGGACTGATGCGGCTCTAGAACCAGGCGGGCGGGAAGGCTTCTCTCAAAGAAAAAGCTTCTCTTAATAGAATGGTTGTCACTATGCTGTGTTTCTTCTTAAAATGAGAGGCAAGAGAAGGATTAACGTGAGCAGTGGGAGCAGAGCCTCAGTCTGACTTGGCAGATTACAACATAAACACGGGTTTCTGTGAGTGACACGGCTTCCCCGGCAGGGATTTATGTGAGAGTGATCTGCTTCTCGGGCAGGTAAAGTTTCGCTGTATTTTCAGGGCCAAGACTAGCTCAGCAGCAGGAGGAGAGCCTTGAACGATGAGGCCCTGAACTCTACCCCCATTGATCATGTGTTCAATTCATTATTTGTTTATGGATTGAGTAAGATCACATAACCATAGGATCAACATTTGCTTCTGGCTTTCAATCTTTAGGCCCCAACTTTAGATGAATGGCGGTATGTGTAGGTATTTTATGACACAGGGCAGGGTATACATGTGGCAGCACTGGACAATGGGAACAGTACCATAAAGCTGCAAAGAGGAGGGCAAGCAAAAGAGGTGGGGGAAAGCGAACACAGGATTCTGCTCGACACAGCGGCACACGCCTTAATCATTCAAGGTCAGTTTTACACAGCAAATTCTAGACCAGCACAGGACACAAGGAGAGACTGCTCCAAAATAATCAAAATAAAACAAAAAAAAAGTCCACTGGTAATTTTTTTTGAGAATTTTAACTTTAACATACAGCATGTTAACCATTTTAAAGATTTAATTTTTACTTTATGTGTATCATGTATGTATACCACATGTGTAGCTGGTATCCATGGAACCCAATGGAGGCTCCCCCGGAAGTGGAGTTACACATGGTGTGTAGGAAGCCAGCCAGTCCTCTGCAAAAGCAGCGAGTATCATACCTAGCTTCCAATAGACATTTTTAAAAATCAGTGGTTATTCCTAAGGGATGATATTGGAGATAAAGGGGACGCTGTGTCACCCCATAATATTTTGTATAGGTGGAGTTTTAAGACAGTTTGGGGACACTGTGTCTTCAGTTTCTGAAAGGGCACTATGGAGGCAAAGCACTGCTATCAGAATGCAAACTGTGGACATGTATGATGCAGAACTCCAAACCACCAACTGGTATACAATCCTCTGCGAGGACGGGATACAGAGTCCTTTACTGTGTTTTCTTTTCCGTTAAACAAGGATGCTGGTGGTACTATTTTCTGACTGCACATGTATTGAAAGTGGGAAAAGGAACTGAGTATCTAACACAAGACCATCCACACGCCCAGCCAGCCTCTCCCCGCCAATTTCCAGTTACTTGTAATGTAGCAGGTCCCCAGGCCTTAGCACAACTGACTCCATGATGTAAGTCCACTCAAGCCATGAATCTCAGCACGCAGACAGCAGCTCCAGCCAAACTGAAACAAAGGCCTAGTCCATCAAAGCTACAGTTCTCGGAAAGTCTCTAAATGGACTGACCTTGCTTTCTGGCTTCTGTACTTCTGCTTCTGGCTAACTGCTCTTGTTAACTGAAGTGTGTCAACTCTTCAGTTTTGGTTTTTGTGCTTAACAGCTCAGCCTGGGGAAGGCTGAGATCCCAAACACACAGTGTAGTCACTGGCTGGATAATAAAGACTTTTATTGGTTTAAGCCCATACCTGAGCAGCCATCTAGGGTAGTAAGTGGTTAGTGTGACACTTCCAGTGAAATGGACAGCAGAGGCAAATGGGATCAGGAAGCACTCGCCCACACCCCCACGCCCGGGGCAGCAAAACTGTGGAGCTCACCTCCAGCCCCAAGCGGATGGCAGCTTCTGTAAAGCTTCGTCTTTCTCTCTCAAAATTCTTCTTTTGCTCTTTAAAAAGGGACCACTCCTCTTGAAGGCGTTCCTTTTCTTCCAGCAAGTAACAGTCTCGCAGCAGTGAGGTGGTGTCATCGTCACACGTGGTGGCCAGCTGCTGCTGTAAGTTTTAAACACAGTAAGTCAGGAAGCCCGCACAGCTCACTCATGCACACTCAAGTGGACGCGGGGAAGATGGGCTGAGCTCGGACATACACGAGGAAGCACCACGAGCCAGTGAGAACCTGCTTTCCCAAGTCTACTTCCCTTGGCAAAGCAGGGGCCAGGTGAACAAGGCTGCGGCTCATTGGCTGCTGGTGCGGGTGACTCTACCAACAGGGAGTCAACTCCACAGACCTCGGGAGACACAGGAGCAAAATCTAGCAGGTTCAGGACATCCTGAGGCCATTCCCGTTTACCTGCAAGAGTTGCTGCTGCGCTCGGATCATTTCTTTACACTGCTGGATCTCCAACTCCAGTTTTTCAGTCTCTTGTTCATGGTCTTGTCGTGAGATGACATCCTCATCACTGAGGCCTTCTAAGTGGACCTTTGAAACTGACACAATCCCAGTGTGCTGGTTAGTGTGCTGTCAGCCTAACTCTAGCTAGGATCATCTCAGAAGAGGGCCCTCAACTGAGAAAATGCGTCCACAGACAAGCTTGTGAGGCATTTTCTTCAGTAATCATTTGTTTTTGTTTGTTTTTGGAGACAGGGTTTTTCTGTGTAGCCCTGGCTGTCCCGGAGGGAGGCCCAGCTCAGTATGATGGCGCCACCACTGGGAAGGTGGTCTTGAGCTTTAGAAAGCAGGTTAAAGGAAGCCGTGAGGAGCAAGCCAATGTGCAGCACTCCTCCATGGCCTCTGCCTCAGCTTCTGCCCTGACTTCCTTTCAAGAGGGTCTGTGAGGTACACGGCAAAATCAACCCTTTCCTCCCAAGTTGCTTCTGGTCACGGTGTTTACCAAAGCAATAGAAACACTGATGAGAACAGTCAGAAACTGGGCACAGATTCTAAAGCCACCGTCTGCTTATGCTGGTCATGAACAGACATTTAAAATAAAAGGCTCACAACTTTTCCCTTTCTGGGCTTTCACAGGTTTTGTAAAAGGAAGTTATTTTCTTCTTACAGTCTACATTTTCTAAATTTGTTACAAAATTAAATGTTTTAAAGCAAAAGAAACCCAAGTTCTAACTACTATACAGTTACACACTTTTAGGACTAATGGGATTTACATATAAGCTTTGTTGCCAACATTTAACTTATAAATCACATTTATTCAAGACTATCATGAGAAGATTATTAGTAACCTCCCTGTGCCTCTGGTTCTTGCTGCTCGGTCTTCAAGAGCTACGGGCTCAGCCACAGAAAATGCCAACAAAGACGACAACTTTACAGACTGTTTTTGATGGTGATTGAAAGAGACTAGTAACCGTGTGCTCTCACATTAGAGTCTACAAAACCAGAGTCCAGGCACGCTGCTCAGTAACAGCGATGATGAAATGAGTCCATGTCATGCAAGTTAGGGTGCAACTGTAAGAGCCGTGCTGTGCCCTTCACCACCTACAGCATTGGTACTAAAATTCAGTTTTGAAAACTCCAATAAATTTAAGTAACTTCAGGAAATGGCAGAGGTTAAAAGTGCACTTGTTCCTGTAGGGGTCCAGGTTCATTTCCAGCACCCATGTTGGGGTATCATAACTATATATAACTTCAGCTCTGGGGAGCCAATGCCCCTGACCTCCACAGAAACCTACATTCACACGATATGCCCCTTTGCAGACACACAAACATAATTAAAATGATAAAAATAAACCTTAAAAATCACAAAATTTGACTTTCCTGATTTAGAAGCATGCAGACTTTAATACACATACGAGGGCTCGCCTTCGTGCTCGAGTTACAAGTTGTTCAGTTCGCTACCGAGCTGCCTGGGGACGTCAGTGTGAGCGACACTGCTCTCTGACACTTGTTCGGGAGCCAGGTGCATCTCTCTCAGTGAGTGCAAAGCCAGGGGCAAACCAGGCAGGACCGGACACTCAGAGCAGCAGCCGAGCCCAGAGCCCCGCAGTCCCTGCGACTGGACAGCAGTGGCTTCCATCACGCCCACTTGGCGTGCACAGGACGAGTGGTTACCTTGGTTATCAAGGGCTTCCACGTGACTTTTCAAGATCCTCCACTGCTTCCTGATGCTGTTTGTAAGTTGTTCTCTCACAGTGTCACAGGAGAGGCCCCACACGCTCTCTCTGCTCAGCTCTCCAGCATCATCTTCAATATCAGAGATAACCTACAGCCCAGGGAGAACGAGGGAAAGACCAGTAACTTATGATGGCATTACACCCAGGCAGCCATTTCGGGCTGATGCAAGCTCTCCCCCATTAGCCAATATCTGTCTTATAAAAACACACTGAAGACAGAAACTCCCAAATTCAGTGGACTCTGACAGAGCTGTCTGAGGAGAGACAGCTGCTGTCTGTGCGATGCTGTGTTGGATGCTGTCACACATTTACTCTTCAAACTGTGCAAAACAGAAACTCAGGTCAGAGGCAGCTTCAGTGTCACACAGAAGACAGTCAGGGCCGAGACTGCTCAATCTGTCTCTGAGTTAAGACTGCTGCAACAAGTATCCTTTGGAAATTATCAACTGAGTCGAACGGTTAACCCCAGTTCTCCTATCATTTTATGGCTGACATGTTTTTCCTTCTGTTGTACCGGAACATGAAATTATAGGAAAATGTACCAATGGTGGTTAAGTTACCACAGAAAACAACATGGGATGTGTTAAGCCAAACATGTATCTACATAAAATAGTCCTTATTTGTTACTAATTTCCAGGAAGGCCAAAATACTTGACTATGAAAAATACCTCTCAGGAGAAAGGCGGCAAAAGGTTAAAAAGAAAGAAGAATTATTAGAACCCCCCACCCCCGTCACAGTGACGTCAGCACTGGGTAACAGCACCGTCTAAGGAGACGCTGTGACGTCAGCTCCATCTGAGTGGGCAGGCAATTAAGACTTAGCGGATGGCTCAGTGACGACAGGTCTTGCCATCACTGGTCTCCAGGGGCTATAGGCCTGTAACCCATTTTAAAGTCTCTTAGACTACAGACAAAGCATTCCTCACCAGAGACTTGGGGCTTGAGCACTTGGGATTTAAGATACTTTGGGATTTTACAGTATCTCTCTCTTCTGTATGTCTGTCTGTCTGCACATGTGTGTGTATTAGAGATATGATACAAGCCTAAACATGAACTCTATTTCAAATGTACCTTGTCTGCACAATTTGAAAGTAAGTTTATGTAATATTTCTGGCGGCTCGATGGGAATCGAGCCGTCTCAGGAGATCCAATTTGGAACCTCCTACCTGCAGCATCAGGTCAACTTAAAGCTGCGGCCTGTGGAGCAGGATGGACTCATCGGGTGCTACACCCCGACTAAAAACCTGCTGGTAACCCTGACCAGCCAGGCAGATGGTAAAGGCACCAATGGATGGCCACATACTGTTATTCCATGCTGACATGAATCTCATTGTACCTGGCTTGGAAATCAGACTTCCTCATACACAGGGAGAATGGGACACAAAGGACTTGCTTTGGTACTATCTACAGTTCCAGGCATCCGCTTGGGGACACGAAGGATTGTGTCCTGTGTGATAAGTAATAAGGGAGGTGAGATGGCCAATTAAGAGCCCACGAAATAAGCAGTCCTTGAACACAGGCTTACAAAATGTACTTTGGCAATTGACAGACCCGACATCAAACTGCCATCTTCCAATTTTAACCACCGGGAGCTGAAGTTCAAGGCTGGAACTTAGATTCAAGCAGGCTTCCCCGTGTTTTCTACCTTGAGAGCATCTACTCATTCTGGAAGAAGCCGCTCCACAGTCACTCTCTTGTGACGTCTTCACTGAGCAGTGAACAACTGCCACACTTGGCGCATGTGGTAACCATCTCTCTACGTGTCTCCAACTTCCCAAGGTGCTTCCTGAGGGAACTGTCGAAATCTTAGCTTTGTCTTTTCAAGACTCAGAACACAATGAGCTTCAATAAAGGCATGGACTGAATGTTTCTTTAGCTCCAAAGAGACAACATGGGTGAAGACCAACACATATGGCATGGTGCTTGAGTGCAGACGCAAATTCAATCCTATTCCTGCGTGTACACTGTGCTAGCATCTACTGTGCCTCAGTTTGCTCATATCTAAGATGGGTATAATTAAGTATAGTCAGATTGTTGTAACATTTTAAACATTATAATCCTCCAGGAGAAATCTGAACGAGATGATGCTCATGAAGTACTAGATGGTCATCTGCAGGTGACTTCCGGCATGTGCCTGGAGATGCGCGGGGGCGGTTTCCAGCTGTCAGTGACTACAGGTGGCAGAGCAATGCCCTCACAGAGTACGTGGGTCTGCATGGTGTGGGTTCGCCGCTGGGCTGGGGCTGGAGAGGAATACTTACAGCAGTGCCTGCGCCGTCCTCTGCTCTTTCCCTGGGTTTCTTCTTCTGGGGAGAGAGAAGAGAAATCATCTCCTTCTTCATCTGCTGCAGGACCTTCTTCAGCTCGGCGTTCTCCGTTAGGATCTGCTTCTGGCGGCACTCATAGTCACTCAGCAGAACTTTGTACATTTCCTCTTCATTCCTGGGGGAGAAACCACGCGTGTGAGAACACATGGCCAGAGAAACCAGGCTACATTGCAGGTCACATGGCTGTACCTGGCTTCTGTTTTATCAGTCCTCCACGAGCCTCGTTTTCCATCAGCTCGACCCACATAATTTAAAACGTCCATGGCTACAATGTAAGCACAAAACATAATCAGTCTCTGCCATGTGCTTAAAACCCTACCACCTGTGAGACACACGAGGGGCTGGCTGGAGCTGACCTGGAACACAGGTCAGGACCCTTCGAATACCCTGGGGTTTGGCAAGCTCCTCCAGTTGCTAAGCTTACTTTTTCCCTGGCCAGGGGGAAGGAGAGAAACACATTCCAGTTTTTAAGGACACAGCGATGTACTCACAGGGGGAGCACAGTGTCTGGTCCATGATGCTACTTACGGATACATGGATGTACTCACACAGAGAACACAGTGTCTGGTCCATGATGCTACTTACGGACACAGGGATGTACTCACACAGAGAACACAGTGTCTGGTCCATGATGCTACTTACGGACACAGGGATGTACTCACACAGAGAACACAGTGTCTGGTCCATGATGCTACTTACGGACACAGGGATGTACTCACACAGAGAACACAGTGTCTGGTCCATGATGCTACTTACGGACACAGGGATGTACTCACACAGAGAACACAGTGTCTAGCACAGTTTTCCCAGAACTCAGCCACATCTGCCTGTCCCTGTGATAGCAGAGAAGCGCGCTAAACTTCCTCACTGTTTGGGCATTACAGAGAAGGCCTTTCCTGCCCTACTAACCACGTAACTGTTGTCATCCTCACAGGAGCGAAAACTTGACAGCACTAATGTCTGTCTGCCCTAGATACAGCAGACTCACTTCCATAAGAAAAAAGTTATTCTGATTTTGAACTAGTAAGATAAAATCCATCTTTTCTGATTGGGTTTGGGACAAGAAACGGCTATCCACCCCAGGCTGCACTGTTGCTGCTGCCGCCATTTACAAAGCTAACTCTGAGATGCTCTTCTCTGACACTCAGAAACCAAGGTGCCGCTTCCCATTTCCAGTTCTTTATGGAGGTCAGCGTCGCGGGCTTATTTTTCAACTCCATACCCATCATGTTAGACACACACATGTGAGGTGGTCGGAATGAGAAGGTCCCCAGGGGCTCTTGTGTTTGAGTCCTTGGTCCCCAGCTGGTGGAACTGTTTGGGAAGGGTTAGGAGGCGTGGCCTTGTTGGAAGAGGTGTGTCACTAGGGTGGGCGTGGGCTCTTCCTGCCTCATAGTCTGTCTCAAGCTCTTAGCGGCGCTCTAGCACGATGCTCCCTGCTATGACAGTCGTGGGCCACTATCTGAAACTGCAAGCCCAATAAACTCTCCCCGAAGTTGCCTTGGTCACTTAGTCTTATAGCAACAGAAAAATAACTAAGCCAACATGTGACTAGTGGTGCAAACTAAACGACCCAGTTTTTTTCCTCCACAACCCGGCTGTCTCAGTTTCCACTTTCTATGGAAATACCTGAATCCTAAAGGCAACCTGTGAGCGTGTGACAGCGCTTCGCTCCCTCACGCTCATGGGCGCAGCAGCGCAGGCACACCGCTCATGCTCAGAAGCAGCATACCTATTCTCTTATCCTTCTTGTTCATAACAAGCTGGTGCAGACGCTCCTTTAGTTTATTGTATTCACGTTCTTTTCTCTTCATATCATGATTATACTGAGTAGCCCGACTGGCTATGATATTTTGTAATTTTTGTACCTGAAACACAAAATACTTTCTATCAAACGAGTATTCATAAACCCACTGAAATCCATCAATTCAAAGGGTAAAACCAGTCCTAGCGTCCATCTTCCCACGTGCTGAGTTTTCACGTCTCGCCAGGGGAAGCCCGTTAAAAACACTAAGTGAACACAGCAATTCCCAGAGGCACGCAGCTGCCAGCAAGCCGTCTTGTCTCTGAGCAGCCACCGCTGGGAGCCTAGGTCAGGTGCTGCTCTTCTGAGACCGCCCACCTGCACACAGTAGGCTAGCGCCTACTGCTGAGCCACACCCCCAGACCCTTTTTACCTGGAGGCTGTCCAGGCTGGACTTGATTCTTTTTCCTGCCCAGCCCCTTAGCAGCTGGGTTTTAGGCCTATGCTACCAGGCTCCAATCGGGCAGGTCCCGACAGGAAGTATACTTTGTTCTTTAGAGCCGGCTCAAGCCCAGCCATGGAGTGGTGTTTTAGCTTACTCCATACCAAAGACAAATTTCAAACTAAATGTAATCAACATATCATATCACAATTGCCTATGCAGTGACCTTGGTTAGATAGTCATTGTTCACTATTAAATACTAATTAATAGTGTAAAAAGAAGTCTATCTGTTCATGGGCTTTTTAAGAACTAGATTATCAGGTTGGAGAGATGGTTCAGTGGTTAAGAAACTTGCTGCTCTTACAGAGGACCCGGCTTCAGTCTCTGTGCCCACAAGGCGGCTCACAAACACCTGTGACTCCAGTCCATGGGGTCCAATCTTCTGGCCTCCCAAGGCACCAGCCATGTACGTGGTACAGACATGGAGGTAAAACACCCATACACACATACAAGAAAGAAAATAGAAATAAACTCCCTTCCAAGCCTCTGAGTTAAAGAACAAAACCCTGATAATAATATTCTTATAGCTGTTATATGGACGGGGTCAAGACACAGAACGAGGAAAACCTAAGGGCTTGTTCTGAAATGCATTATAAATAACGCCTTCCGATGCGCTGACACTAGAGTTCATGTCATCACATGCTGTCAAAGCAGCTGAAGACAAGGTCTAGGTGCCTACCAAGCAGAGGCTACAATCAGAGCATTTTGAGTTACAAGGGATCTTTTTAATGAGTCGGCACAGCTTTGTGCATCCTAGGCAAGTGTTCCACACTGTGGCCATTTAATCAGGTTAATTCTTTGCTTTATGAAAAAACGGTAACATTTAAGATCACACAAGAGAGGAGGAAGGGGGACAGTTCAGTGGCAGGGCACTCGCCTAGCTTTGATGTGCACGGCCCGGGTCAGCCAGCGAGAGCCAGGGAGAGCCTTCACTGTCAGGGACACGGGCTGGGGTGAGGCGTTGGTGCTAGGAGACAGGTGTGGAGCCCTGCACCTGCGCCAGTGCCGGGCAGACGACGGGTGCCTTGAGCTCTCCTGTGCCCGAGAAAAAGCCGCGAGGGCGGAAGGATGGCAGGAGGCTCTGTCTGCTCCCAGCTGTGGCTCATGTCCTAGGACGGGCCCAGGAGTATCCACCCACTACGCTAGTGTGACACAGAACACACAGTTCTTTATAAAAAGCAAAGTGGCCACTATGTCACACCTCAAATTCTACAAACCAATAGTTCACCTCATGCAAGGTAACAGAAAGCTCACCTCATCTTTTTCATTCTTTAGGAGCTGATGCAAATTCCTGTTTTTGCACTGTAGCTGCCTGTCTCTCTCCTGAAGTCCAATCATCTCTCGCCTTGAGGCCTCCAGTTGTTCCTGGAACATAAAACATGACGCTTGACTAAAACTGAAGGGCTCACAAAGTCCTCAGAAGAGCTGTGACAGAGATCACACACAACTTCAGCAGCACATGAATATTTACTTACAGCAATTACTACCAAATTCAATAGATAAAACCACATGGCTCATTTAAATTCCCTTTTTTTCTATTTAGAGACAAGAATGGCAACATGCTCTCAAAGGCTCTTCCTCGGTGCTGCTGCCACTGAGTTCCCAGGATTCTCTTGAGGCTTTCACACTCTGAGAACACACTTCAGAAGGCCCTCATCTACAGTGATGCTTCCCTCTGCAGGGCTCTTGGCTTTAGGAAACAATAAGTGCCATTGAATGTGAAGAGACTAGGAGCACTATCCTTCACACGGCACAAGTTCAAGTCTGAACTCTGAGAAATTATAAAAACAAAACAAAACTAAACTTCACAGAGAAGCACAAAGGCCCAAGCAGACAGAGCAATCACATGCGGAAAACATACATAAATCATAAACACAAAGAACACAGCTTAAGGTGCCATAAAACCTGATTCCAAATTATACAGCACAGCCACAGTGATGAAAACCAGCACTTCACTGCCATGGAAACAGACTTGACAGCCATGGAGCACAGCACAGGACCCAGAGGAAACCCACAAAGGCCCCTCGTTTATGACCATGGTACGAAAGATACACCAGAGAATGAACAGGCTCCTCAACAGCTGTGCTGGGAAGTGGAGCAGTCCTCGTCCATCCTCCGCAAACATGCACTCCAAATACATGCAGGACCTTAGCGTAAGACCGCAAACTCTGAAGCCGCCAGAGCAAACAGCAGAGAAAGTATTTCAGACAGAGGCTTAGCAAGGATTGGATGAAAAGGACTCCAATGACACAGAAACTGACCTCATGAATGGACAAGTGACATCACAGAGTCACCAAAGGAAGCAGTCAGTGCAGGGAAACAATGGGAGAAAATCTCTGCTAACTACAGGTCTGGCAGGGACTAATATTTATTATCTATAAAAAGAACTTAAAATACTAAATATCAAAAAATGAACAAACAGTTTGGACTAGGCATTCTCCAAAGAACGACAAATAGCCAGTAAGTATATAAAAAGTGTCCAACATCTTTAGCCCTACAGGAAATGCATAAAACTACAGTGAGATTGCAGAACAGCCACTACCATCAAGGCTATAAATAAGCGACTCCAAATGCTGGCAAGGACGCCGGCAAAGAGAGGACTATGCACTGGCGAGCCGAGGCTGACACTAAGGAGGTCACGGTGGAGGTCCCTCGAGAAACTGAAGCAGAAATACCGTACAATCCTGTACACTCCCGGGTCTAGTCTGAAGCACTCCCCGTTAACACAGTGCTGCTCACTGCAGCTAAGCTACGGGACCAGTCTAGATGCACCAACAGACAGATGGCTACGGAAAACGTGACATGTGGGCGCGCGTGTGTGTGTGACTGAAATAATTGGAGCTGTGGCCTCACGTATTAGACTCCATTAGTCAGAAAACTCATGAGCAGACACTGGATTTTCTTTTTTCTAGTACCTGATGAATTAATCACTTTAGATCTAGAAACCTCACAAATTTCTGTCCTCGGCTAAGTCAAGTAACAGATCTGACCCAGGTCAAATTCAAGTTAAAAGACATCCTCATAGAACAACCTGTTGTGGGTAGTTCTAGTTCATTCCTGAAAGGCCTTCCACAGTCACTCCAACTTAGCCTGCACCACTGTGCAGCTGGGCACTAACTACTCACATGGCACTTGGCCAATGACACGCAGCTACAAGAACACTGCCTTCAAGGTTTATAGGTTCTGATCAGTCTCATTAGCATCCAGGTCCCGAGAAGAGAACCTGGATCAATGTGGCACTCACAGCTCTAGAGAGCACTAATTCCTTCTCCACCCCAGGCTCCCCAGCTAGTCCACACACACGGGGTACTCACTCTCCTGTCCTTCAGGCAAACAGGATGTACAAGAAGCTAAAAGCACTGTTGAGAGAGACGGTGGCGTTACTGCGCCTGGTCTGAGGACAGACAGGACACATGGCAGTGATGGGCTAAAAGGAGTACATGCCACGGAGGATAGGTGACACTTCTCTAGGGCGTCTCCAATTGTGCTCGGCGTTCACAAACGGGGCAGTGCAAACCACAAGCACTTTACAGCATGCGCTACTACCCTGCAAATATTCTCCTCGGAGCCCACAGTCAAGGTTCTTTCGCTTTTCTTATCTGTTTTAGACGGGTGGGGTAGCAAGAAGATATACAGAAGAGGGCCAAGGACCCGCAGATAGAAAAGCACAAGGAAGCCATTGCCGAGGGCATGCTCACACACACACACATACACACACACGCACACACACACACACACACGTGTGCACACACACACACACACACACACGCACTCACACGAAGCTTTGTGTTCGTAAGCAGGGCCTTCTATCAGGTATTGAGGAAAATGGGTTCTATGGCTTATGCTCTTAATAATACACAACTATAATGTAAGTCTGTCCTATACCATGATTCAAACACTTGCCCCTCCTTTCTCAGGGGATTATATTTCTTACAAAAACACACAGGGAAGCTTTTTATGAAGGAGAAAAGAAAGCAACCAGAAACCAGCAACAACACTGCACGCTAAGGTGGCAAGCCCTTTGTCTGGGAAGGGTTATAAGAAGCACAGGGACTCCCGTCTCCCCTGCAGGCGGGGGGAGGGGGAAGCACTCCTTGCTGTCAGCTGCTGTGTGGCCTGCTCCGTCCCTGAGCTCTGCTCTGGTATATACGCCTCGGGAATATTCTTGGAATCAACATGTTATGAAGCACTAACTTTGTCAAGAAGCAAGATTGGAGGAGGTGAGAGAACCCACCCGACTCTCCCCAGACCCAAAGTATCTCCTAACTTGTTACAGCTTCAGAAGGCCCTAGACCAGACCATCAAGGCCTTCAGCACAGACAGCGAAAGGCTGAGCCAACGACCCGTGCAAGTGACTGGAAATCACAGTTAGTCACAACATTTGAAACACAGCCCCGGATCTCCTCTGAAGCGCAGGCCACCTGTGGCACCGTGCCCTGTGGCAGAGTGCTGAGGCAGGAGATGAACAACTTGTACCTTAAGTTTGGTGTAGCAGCTCTGCAGGTGGTCCATGTCACTGCCTAGCTTCAGGTTCTGCGTCTCCACGCTTTCCTGGGCCAGAAGGTTCTTCCGCTGAAGTACAAGCAGCTCATTCATACAGTTTAAGACAGCAACTATATTTAATTCTCTCTTCGTCTCTTTACTCTTGGACTCTTCATATAAGGAAGGAAAACCGAAGGTAGTCAGTTCCTGAGAGGAGAGAACGGTTTCTTAGCGGCCGGCCGGTTATCTCTGGGAAGATGTTGGTCAAAGGACAGTTCGGCACTACAGAATGCGCTACTGCACTGCCTGGTGATAAGCTAGCAACAGTGTTGACTCTCACTGCAGGCTGGACCTGCAGTCACCCTGACACACAAATCTCACTGTGTGCTCTTCAGAGCCATTCCACAATGGACACATATTTAAAAACATTTAGTACACAATGTACACAGCTGCTAACTTGTCACCGGAAGCTTTCACTATGTAAGTTCATTTTTTTTAGTAGATTAACAGACAACTTAGTGAAAAAGAAAAAAGAGGAAATGAAAAACCATTCCTAGATCATTATTAAGTATTCAGAGAACGGACACTTACACAACTTTACATTCTTTGCTGAACAATTACCCATGTCCTGGTGTAGCGGCATCTGGCTGTGCCAGTGGCCTTGTGGTGGTGGCCACAGGGAGGGGCTGGCTCGCTCGCTCGCTCGCTCTCCTGGGTTGTGCTGAGAGCATCAAAGGGTGGAGGCTGCATCTTCTGGGGCAGGAAGACCTCGGTGATTACTTACTGTTGTTTGTGTAAGCTCTTCCCTAATAAATGTTTGTCATTTATCTTTAGTTTTGTGGACTCAAAATTTAAACCCGCCTTCATCTGGGCCCATGGCCAGCCTGGAGTCAGACCCAGGAGTCTAGCCTCCTACTTCACTCCCTCACACGAGCCAGCCGCTCAGCTTCCTTATCGTGGGTCATGTGTGCACCTGGAGCCACGCCCCTAGGTGTGGCCACCACTGTAAGCCCACTGGCAGAGCGAGATGTCACTACAGTCTGGCCTAAGTTATCCAGGTTTCTCATCGATGAGACGGGGTTGGGCTCTGAGTGTAGGAGCCTGGGACGGAGGGTGCCGGCTGCTACCACAGCGGCTAACCTGTGTCAGCCCAGGGCTCACCTGCACGGCTAAGTCTTGGTCCCCGAGTAACGACACACTCGGGTTTGACAAACACTTCTTGTAGCTTTGATATTTTCCGGTATATAACATGCTCTTACTTCTTACAAAAAACACATTACCTGATCAAGATATGAAATACTTTGTTCAATGTTCTCTTCTGTGCAGAAGGCACTGAAAACACTGTGTACATTTTTTGATAAAGGTATTGAAGAGCATAGCACTTGCTGGGAGTATAAACTTGATGGAGACATCTTTGTTTCTGAGGTATATTGAGAGAGATTCTTTCTTTCTGAAAATAAAAACATTCAGACAGTTATAAATCTAAAAATCTCCATTACCAAAAATTCTGAATTATATACAAAGTATATTTTAAAGTTAGGGCAAAGACGCTTGTGTGAAATCTATATATACTTTTATTTTTAAAAAATGAGAAAAGATACAATTACATTGACATTCTGTCTTGGTAGGTATGTTAAATGGATTCACACCTTAACTTCCACTATTGGACTTATAAAAATAGGAAAAACACTTGCCTATGACAATCAGCTGATGCGATTAAAGGAGTTAGACTGAAGGAGTCAATAAATGTATTACAAATGCATAAACTTTCCCTCAAAAGTGGTGATAAACACTCTACTGTCCACTCACAGCCTAGCTTAGCTTTTTATAACTTTACAGAAAATGAAAACTGAGTATGTGCTAACCATGGACAGCTGTCACCATGTCTCCTGTGTCTGTGGTAACCAGTTTATATTGTTCTCAACAACCCCTCTTTGATGGTGTCTGCTGTTTAGACTCTGTTACCTGTACACAGACTTGGATCTGTAACAGTCATCCAATCTCCCATAGCAGTCTCCAGAGCCAGGATACCTGAGGAGGTGGTTCAGGGCTGAAGCATGTACAACAGCTTCTGTCACGCTACGTGAGCATCTCCTTAGAAAGCAAGGGACAGAGGCATCGGATGAAGTAAAACATCGTGTGTGTGTGTGTGTGTGTGTGTGTGTGTGTGTGTGTGTGTGTGTGTGTTCCTTTCAGTTTTACTCCACTTCTATGCTTATAAATGTCTTGAATGCAAGTATGTGAACCTTGTGTGTGCCGGTGCCCACAGAGGTCAGATGAGGGACAGCAGCAAGTGCTCTTAACCACTGAGCCACCTCGTCTCTGCAGCCATTTACGTGGCCTTTACAACAGAAGGGCTCTGCAGAGAAATACCAGGTGCACAGTGTGCTGTTTGGCTTTACCTGTCAACAGACACAACCTAGGATCACCTGGGGAAGGAATCTCCATAAGGAATTACCCAGATGGGGTTGGTATGTGAACATGCCTATGGGGCATTTTCATTATTAGCCGAGGCGGAGGGACACACCCAGGATGTGGGCAGTACCATCTCATGGGCTGGGCCCCCAACTATGTAAGAGTGAAGACAGCCGGCTGAGTCAAAACAGCAAGGAAGCCCAGTCTACGTCTTACTCCTCGCTGCCCTAACAATAGACACAGTGAGCGGCCATCCGAGGCTCCCACCTCTGTGAGCAGCCGTCCAAGGCTCTACCTCTGGGACCTGCCACATGATAGACCATAACCTGGAATTATAAACCAGAGAGACCCTTCCTCCCTTAAGTTGATTTTGATCCAGATGTTTAATTACATCAATAAAAATGAAAAGTAGAACACAAAGACATAGGCTGTGTGTGTGTGTGTTACAAACTATACATATTTGTATTACAGTTAGAGGTTTCCCAAGACCCATGGTACCTGATTTGACTCTCAGGTACAGCACTCAAACAGGGATTGATAACCATAATAGGGATGATAATAATAATGTCCAACAACAACTCTTACTTATGTGGATGAGAAGATGAACCCTTCTAGGTCATTATCCCATGCCTTGTTTCTCCCAATTCTATCAGCGCATCTCTTACATGCTAAGGCCTAGTCGCACAGAGCGGGGAGGAAACATTCCTATGTGTGGCCCTGTAGGCAACAGCATCTCACACTGCAGGAGCAAAGCTGGCAACGTGGATCTGAAAACGCTACTCCCAAGTTTATCCTAAGAAGATAACGTGCACAAAGATTGGTCTACAGAGTGCTCTTCATAATATGGAAAATCAAGGCAGGGACACGCAGGACATGCTCAGGGAAAGTGGACTCATGCAATAGGACACGGAACAGGTTTAAACAAAACTGGAGAAGTAAAAGGGCTAAGGAATATCAGTCTAGGAATACAATGAGAAAAGGAGACTACATTTAGATGTAACTTTTGCTTTTATCCAGGCTGCCACCTTTTAACAGATGAGCCGTGGTTCTACCACAAGGGAAACACTCAAACGGCAACTGGCAACAGATTTCGCCGTCGGGCGAAGGCAGACGGTGAAGAGCGTGGGCAAATGGCAGGACACGTGTGACACTTTGGACAGCTGCTTCTCAGCCACAGTACCCTGAAGAGATGACAGTCCCTATGCTGACGGCTTTCAAGTTTCAGAGATGCTGGAATCCTGCACTCCTGTATGAAATCTTCCAGCTTTTACGTGTTAGAAGCTAATTAAAAGTAACATTATGCAGTTTATCCCATGGGAAGAGGGAGTGAAGGGAGTATATTGTAGCCTTCTGGGGTTCTAGAAACATCTTGATCTGAGACTCAATTATGTGAGTACACATACAATTCATTAAGTTGTACGTGTAAAGTCTACGCTCTTGACTATATGCTATAACTCAACATTTAACACGCCAAATCAATTCTATCATATCATAGTATACCACAGCATACAACAGCATATTATAACATACCATGATATAGACTCATGAGCATTCACTCTTTGCTGAATATTTAACATGGATAGAAAACATGGCATGATTTAGTGAAGGCTAGTCAAAGCTTGCCCTCACTAAGTGTGACTTGAGTTCCCACTACCACTATGCTGCAAGCACACTTTCTAGGCACAAGGGAAGCTAAGTTCTCTAGAGTTCACATTCTGGGAAAGGTGAGCAGGACACACTACAGAAGCAAACGTAACATGGAGAGATTAGAACTACAAAGAAAGTCTTGCCACCATCAAGTGTTGGGGTGGGGAATATCTAGATCAGTCGGGGAACATTACACAGGGAGGGACCAGCTCTGGTTTGAACACGAATGTCCCTTAGAGGCTTCCCAGTTACAGGCTAGCTCCCCAGCTAGCAGCACTATTGGGAGGTACTGGAGACCAGGGGGGAGCCTAGAGGAATCAGTCACAGGGTGAAAGTCCTTGGGGCTGCCTGTGCATTGCCCCGCCCTCTTCCGTCTAGGACAAGGTGAGCTAGTGTTTTCTACTGCAGGCTTCCCACTGAATGTTAGGCCACACCGCAGGCCTGTGACAGTGGCACTAGAACCAGCCGGCCATGGATGGAAATCTCCGAAACTCAACAGCGGGACCAGAACCAGCCGGCCATGGATGGAAACCTCCGAAACTCTGAACCCAAATCCATCTCCCCTCCTTCTAAGCTGATTGTCTGAGGTACTGGTCACAGCAGACACTAGAGAAGGACACTTCAATATAGACTTACATGCTGTGGAGTCAGTCTCAACACGACAGGGGGCCAGTGTAGCCCAGGTAAGGCAAACAGAAAGCAGAAGGACTTCAAACAGAATTGAGCTTGGCAAGTAAGAAAAAAATCAGAAGGACAGCATGCCTGGGGCACAGTGAGCAAGGCAGGAGGCAGCAAGCTGGATTGCTGAGTGTGTGGGAAGCTGCTGAGGGGTCTGAGGCAGGAGGGCTCCTCTGTGCTTTAAGAAGCACCATTTTTATTACACTGGGCAGACTACAGGAGTCGGCAGGACAGACTGTGACGGTGACAAGGTTCCTGCAACAGCACAGGTCAGATCAGTGCCACACCACAGTTCAATCACAGAAACAACATCTGAAGAAGCGGACATGTGTCCTGGAGAGAGAACCTGTGGTAAAGAGGAAGCCGGGCACTCCTAGATCACAGAGCATCACCACCCCCCAGAGCAGAATCATTGAGGAAATCCGCACGCCATGGCGTCTAGCACTGGCATCTTGCTCTACTTGTGTGATATGCTAAAGAAGGTGTCTGGAACTACTTTATCGTTGGTGGATGATTCCAGCACTATGAAAAGAAAAGTAAGAAGGACCAGTCTTCACCAAGTAAGAAAAACACATTAACTTTTCACTCCGGGCCTTCAGGGCTCTAAGCAAACACAGAACAAGAGCAAACAAACCATGTGTCTGTGGCAGCTTGGCTTTGGGTAGACGACTTCACCTCTCTGAGCCCTGGGTTTCACTGGTCATGTCTCATAATGGTGACATGTACTTTAGTGTCCTTAAACGAGGCAATGCATGGAGAATTTACCACGCAGCTTGGCACAAGGGATGAAAAATTAGATTGAGTTCACTGTGTCCATATTCCTCATTGCCATGACCAACTATCAGAGATAAACAAGGGGGGAGGAGGATTTTTTGGGACTCACATCACTGGTGGTGGTGGGGGGGGGCAGAGGCGGGGTGGGGGTGGGGATTATGAGACTGTGACAGCCACACCAACAGGCTTTCCCCTTCAGTCTGCAACGCCAGCCTATGGGATGCAGCTGCCCAATCAGAGTGGGTCTTCAGGGTTAGGCAATCCTGTCTGATGTGCACTCATGTCTGCGAGTGGCCATGACAACCAAGAGCAGCCTTCACACTCATCTCCTAGACACAGCTCTGCTAGTGTAAGTGACAGGATTCCAAGACAGGCAGAAACACATTGCTCTCAAGGAAAGAGGACACTGACTCGGAAGACACGGAACTGATGTCTGCATAGACACCTACAGTGACGTGATCCACTGCAATAGGCTGTCCGCATAGACACCTACAGTGAGGTGATCCACTGTAATAGGCTGCCCACATAGACACCTACAGTGATGTAGCCCACTGTAACAGGCTGTCCACATAGACACCTACAGTGACGTGATCCACTGTAATAGGCTGTCCACATAGACACCTACAGTGATGTAACCCACTGTAACAGGCTGTCCACATAGACACCTACAGTGACATAACCCACTGTAATAGGCTGTCCAAATAGACACCTAATCCACTGTAACCAGCTGTCTGCATAGACACCTACAGTGATCTAATCCACTGTGATCCCAGGGCTGGGGAGATGCAAGAACAGAACACCAGTTTTTCTAAGACGCCTGCTCTTGGAAAGAGAACAGAAAGAGAAAAGAGCTGTGTGGCTCTCCTCATTCACAAACACTGTGTCAGAGTGAGGTCACTCACCTGCTCCTTAAAACTAAAGGCCTCTGTGCCCGAGCTTAGCTGCTTCCTCCCTCCCTTCCTCCCTCTCTTTCTCTCCCCCCCGCATGCACACACAAACATACACAATCTAAGGAAGGACCAAATTATACACCATGAGAACTTGGAGAAGTGGCTCTTCCAGCTGTTCTCAAGAAAAAAGGGCAATGTACACCAGAAAACCAAGAGCAGCATCTCCATGAAGCACAAGGCTCACACTATCACAAACCCACTGCATGCGGAGGCACCAGCAGCAAACATGGGTTCGCACTGCAGATTCACCACAATCACCCATCAGTTATACGAGACTGCGACAACCCATGACATCACACCACGGCAGCTTGGCTGCACCTGCAGCGTCACTGACACTTCACAACAGGGAAGGGTTCGTAAGAACAATTTGGGTCAAGTAATCTGGCCCTGGCGTTCTCTAACTTCTTTCAGTGTACACGCGTCACTGGTAGGAGAGCTGTCCAGACTCCAAGACAGCTCCGGTCCATGTGCACATTTTACGGCTGAAATATCAAGAACTTAAATGGCACCCAAGTCCATTTCATCCATCTAAGATTTAGAGGGAACAAAATCTACGTTATAGCCCGTGAGAACATTCTCAGGCTGGAACACAGTTCATTCAAAGAGCATTTGCCTAGAATGGGAGGCCCT